CTACTTCATTCAGCTTTAATCTATATGCAACACGAGGCAGTCGCAGGACAAAACTAAAGCTGCAGCATAATTGAGTATTTTAAGCTCTGACTTAATCAGACACAATGACTAATTAATATGCCACATCAATTTCGTTGAATACATTCAGAGCTTCGATTGCCATTAAAGCTGAAAAATAATAAAATTGAGCTACATTTTATAGAATCACCATACTTTTAGCGCCTAGAATTTACTGACCTTATTATTCAGAAAGTATATTTCTTGAGGGAAACATTTCATTACTGTTTTCTGAAATTTTATATTTCTTAGAAATATTTTCGATTATTAAGAAATTTGTATATATTTATCTATAATGTTTGGTGAACTCTTTTTTAATATTTATGTTTATGTTTTCAGGTCAAGTCTTTATCATTTTTTACATATTAAACAAATTATATTATATTATATTTCTGAAAAATATAAAAATAACTATCTAAATTGTCTTTTTAATCAGATTTTCTAAACTTCATGTTAATTTTTTTCTGACTGTACTAAGACTAAATTGTTTTCAAAAATCTCCTGTCTCTTTTGGGGTCCTATAGCTGGCTCCCAGCTATAGAAAATGTGAGTGCAAAATAAGCCATTTAAACATTTAAATCGTTAAAAATGGATTTAAAAGAATACGAAGCGAATGTCAAAAGTTCAAATAGAGAATTCCGTTTGAACAGCGATTTCCGTTGACTGTCACCTGTTTTGGCAATGCCAACGAAGTTGTGCAAACAATTTATACTATCGAAAGGGAAGCACACATTGGCTGACAATGTTTGTGACCAGCAGCCATTTGGCTTAATTCTTGACGCTTTATGCATATTATGAGCGACAGCCTTGAGTCCCAGCAACACCTACTCCTGCCCCAATGTTGGCAGTGCCAAAAACGATGCCAGCAGGTGACATAAAACAAGCCTTTTATGTGACAAGCTGCTACTGCTGCTGCTGCTGCTGCAGTTGCCGACACGCAAGGGTGGCCAAAAATGTTGCTACACCCAACCATATATAACCGAATGCAAAGGAATGCGGCAAGGAATGAATAAGTGAGGCGAACAAAACATCGCGTGAGAAATGTGAAATGTGAAATAAAAGCAACAATGCGACAGTGCTGAGGAGTTAATGCGAAAGGGAAAGGGAAAGGGATTCCGGATCGAGGGGAGAATCATTTATTATTTTGTTTTCTGAAATAAGCAAAAGAATGCAGGCAATGGCACCAGGATTAGCGGCATCGCCTGTCCTCCAATGACAGTTGAAATCATTGGTAGCCATTTTGTTTGGCTTTCCGCGCGCTGTTGCCAAATTTCATTGTTTGTCATTTAACGATTGACAGTTGGCGATAAAAGGCAAAACGAAACGAAATGAAACAAAACGTAACGTGAGCAAAACAAAGCAAACCAAAGCAAAGCGTAGCAAAGCAGAGCAAAGCAAAGCACAAATGCCAAACAATAAGCGTATCCCCAAATAAAAACCGTAACAGTAAAAGTAAAAACAACAAACAGCGACATTAACAGCAGCAACAGCATTGACAACACACCTCCCCAATCGAAATGAAAATGTTAATGATGCGCAGCCAAAAGGTGTCAACTGCTTAGCCAAAAATTGCTTCTTTGCCCGCCAACTGCTGCTGACTTGCGATTATTTTTGCTGTCTCGTCCCAAAGTCCGTTTGGCGTGTCAGAATGTCTGAACGTCTAAATGTCTGAATATCTGAAAGTCTGTCGGGCTATTTATCATTATGACATTGTTTGGCTTTCGGGCTGATTTGCCTAGGGAACGCCATCTGGGCCGCTTGTGTCTCTAAGCTGTTAATCAAGGCTACCACAAAGTTGTGAGCAATATTCAACATGGGAATATTTGTCTCAAAACCATGTCGATCTGATCGGATTTTCGCATATCACATCGAAAATCAAAGCATTTAAATGGAAATACATTTTTAGAGAAGTTCTTGTTACTTTTATAGATATTATGCTAAACTGATTAAGTCCCAAATACTTCATTTTGAAATTCAACGAAAATTAATTTATTTCAAAATAAAATCTTAAATTTCCAAAAAATAGTTTTACAAAATCCAATCCAAAATTAAATAATATATTTTCAAATAAAAAAAACGGAACACAAAACCGCTTGAATTACAATAAAGTACTCAGTTCAAGTTATAGCTCGCAGTAATGGTGAAATATTAATAGTAGCATTAATAAATATATAATAATAATAAAATAAATAATATGACATTTACTACACTAGTTCCATTCCTCTCTAACATTTGTAGCAGGCAACTTGTAATGAAGGTAACAAGCTACTAGTGACGTAGCATAAGACTGTAACTTAACATCTGTACATAACATTGATATCGGTTGATATCGATAATTGTGTGATCACTAACTTTAAGAAGAAGAAGAAGAGATTAATCGTTGTGCTTAAATTATAGTGCTCAAACATGTTTGAGAAAGCAATATAATTTAGTTTTGACTGCTACACATTTTGTTGCACTATTAAATATTTACTGTAATGTTTAGAAGAAAAAAATCAGAAAGCAAATGTAAACTGTTTCAAAATAAATCGGAAGTAGCTTTAAAAAAAAAACAATACTAAGTGGAATAAATAATGATAATAATAAATATAATAAAATATTTTGTACGCTGATAGTTCACCCACTCCAACATCCTGCGCAATTTCTATTGTAAATTAATACATTTATAAAAAAAAATCTAGTGAACAAATATATATTGCTTTTAGGAAACATCAAACGACTGAGAATCTGTCATAATGCGTAAGCCACGCCTGATAATCATTTCACATTTACTCAATTACATCCATAAATGTCAGATGTGGCCCAGTTTTGGGTTGGCTTGGTTTTTGTTTTGCACAGTTCATGGGCCATTTCACGGAAACCGGTTAAGCCAATTTATTAAATAAAAAACCATTTGTCACATTTTATTCAAGTTTTCAACGTTGGCTATTTGTGTGTGCGTGTGTGTGTGTGTGTGTGTTCGGACCGCGTGGCCGGTTGCTATCTTTATGACATTTCCAGCTTGGGCAATGAAACAGAAACCCCAAAAGCCATAAAGTCAAAACGATGGCCAAAAGGGCACAAACGTCACAAAGGGCGATGAGTGAACAAGCTGGACAAAAGGTCAGGCTGACATTTTTCTTCATTAATTTCACCTGGTCGACTGATAAAAAGCCAAACGACGACAGCAGCGATGATCATAAAAGTAATATGTAATAACCAGATAATAACAATGACAAGGACCTTTTTTTTTCTTATTGTTCTTCTTATACTTTCGGGCCAACCAAAGACAGACATATTTTAGACGTTGTCACAACTTGAAATAAGCACTCACAATAAGTCAAGAGACTAAAGACAATAGCCACACTGCGCTGTTTCCAACCGCAATTAGTTGATTGCCGAGGCTCAACTCCATCAAAGATTGTAAGTGCTTTCAATTTCATAGCTTTTCATTCCGTTCCACTCCATCCCGTCGTCATCCTCATCCCACCCACTCAACGGAAATAAAACTTGCCCAAAAGTTTAAAAGCCTTTCTTGGCGCTTTCCGTTGTGTGCTTCGGCTAACTTTTGTCTTCCTAACTCACGATTTGCCTTGCCTCCTAGTCAGCGCCACCCAAGTGGACAACTATTCCACATAGCTTCCATTTTCCTACATTTATTGTGTGTGCTCAGACCCAGAGTTTTCTAATTTACGTCGACCACGCAATTAAACAAGACATCCGTTTGAATGCTCAGACCAACGAGCAGTGCGCTCTTTAAATGCACTTCGCAGTTGGCTTTGAAATTGCGCTGCTCCATTCCTGAGCTGCTTATGTGACAAATGAAGGATGTCAAGTTACACATACGCCTCGTTGCACCACTTCATAAATAGCAAATGCGCTAAGTTGGCTCAAGTGTGAGTTTGTGCAACTATGGCCTTGACTTTTATGCATGTGCAGTAGAGACTCTCTCTTTCTCTTTTTCTTCCTCTGTCACTCTATCTCTCTCTGCGTATCTTTCTGAACACAAATTTGCATACACAGTAAAATATGTTATATTAAATAAAGTTTCAACTTATGTTTACTGAACATAGTTCTTGTAATTGAATTCTTAATTGAGTTATTTTATTTCGGTTTTTCGTTTTTATTTCATAATCAAATAACAGCACAATTTTTCGAGTAGTTTAAAAGCAAAAAACTAACCTCAGACATAAGTCTAAGTCGAATATTTTCATGGGCTCAAGTTTCTTTTTTTTTCCATTTCATATCAACAATCACAATTTAAGTTCAGAAATAAATAAGGCCTGCCAGAGATATTTTAAAACATAAATACTTAAATGCTTGTAAAGTGAACTTGAAAAAGACTTTCGGTAGTTCAACTGACATTGAATGGATTAAGTTTAGCAAATTTTAGAATATTTAATCTCTCACTCACACACTTCTGACTCACTGATAAGTGCTGCTATATATATACATATATAAATATATATATGCTTATATGCTCGCAGCATTTTGCGATTGAATAAATAATGATTAACAATGCAATGATGAAAACTTGCAAAAAGTAATAATAGTAACACAGAAGGCGAAAAAAGTGGAGAAATGTTAAAACATGCCACGCATTTTTATGTTATTTATTGTTTTTATTTCATTTTTCATTTGCAGTTGAGGACGACGATAACTCCAAAGGGGACGTCCCCAGCGTCGACGCAGTTATGCAATCGAGAATATGTTTTGCCAGGCAGCCCAGGGCTGAGCAAATTGTTGCGCGTAAATATTTAACAGTCGCAATGAATTGCGTGCCCAGCAATTGAAATTGAAAGTACAATGCAAATCTAGCCAGCAGATAAACCAGCAAACGAACTATGCAAGTGCCGGCCAACGCGTAAACATTGACAAAAGCGAACAACAACAGTGAAAAAGCAAAAGAAATACGAAAAAATTCGTGAAAGAAAAAAAAAAAAAAAGGAATAACCAGAAATACGCATAAAAACAAATACAAAAATGAATATTAAAATATTTCCGTTGACAGCGGATGCAACGTTGGCGCAGCCACGACGTCGCGTAATGAAACTGCAACGGAAACATAAAATGCCGGAAATATGCTCATGGCTAATTGTTGCCGCTGCCGCCGCCTCGGCCACTTGGCTGACCCTCTCCCGGTCACTGGCTGCCGCACAGGATGACGACGACAGCGAAATGCATCAGCATCATATGGATCTGCTGCTCCATCAGCAACAGCATTCGGATTTCATTATTGGCGAGTCCGAGGAACGGGATCACATAGCACATCACTTGGGTGAGTCCAAATTGCCAATACAGAAAATTAAAGAATATCGAATACTAACTGGCATTCAAATATAAATCTTAATTGTACATAAATTCATGGGAATAAATAAGTAGAGGTTAGCATTTTTGTGGTGACGAATAAATATTTATTTGAAATAATCGCTTTTATTTAATAAACTTTTTCAACCTACCACGAACCGCTTATTAAAAATTAAAATGTTGCCATCATTACTAATTCAACAGTTAATTTACCATCAAAGTTCAAGTCCACAAAATTGGTCTCTTTAAATATTTATATGTTTTAAATGATATTGACACTATTTGTTACAGTTTCTATGTTTAAGCTGTAAGTGTTTGTTTTTAAATTAAAAGGTCAGAATTAACAACAAATCGAATTGACAACATTTCTTAAAAAATATTTGTTTGTTTCTTAGCTAAACTATAAATGATACCAGCTGAGTATTGCACTTAGGATTCAATCCTTCACTAACTTAGCTGTATAAAGGTGTCTTAAGGCACGAGTAACTCTCATTCGGAGATGAATTCTATCCACGTCAGTTTGTTCCATTTTTGCCACACAGCATAGTTGACACAGAGGGACGGCTTAAGAAAGGCTTTTGGGAGTTATCACGCTCTATTTGTGCTTGCTTTTGCTTAGCGCAAGGTCAACTTGGCGCGGCTGCCAAGTGCAAACAAACTTTTAAGTGTCGCTGCCCACCCCCTCTCTCTCCACTAGCCATCCGGCATCCATCTGTGTGTCACTTGAGCGGAATTATGTGACTGGCAGCCGGCAGAGTTGTTGGAGCAGTCCCAAAAAACAGTTTGGCTCATTGCACACTGAGGGCAGTTTGAAGAACGTGCTTGATTGGGTTTCAGTAGCTATTTAAGTTGGCCCAAAGTTAAGCCGTTCCCAGAATAATTAAAGCGCCCACATGTCGCATGCGTTTTCGTAGTCCTATTCGCATTGTGGCTGCTGTGGTCTGACATCCATTCGCCTGTCGCTCTGCCCAAAATGTGCACACAGACACAGAGACACGCACACTTGTGGCACCCACATGCTAGCCCAGGGAAGCCCGGACCCGTGTTTGTGGCCACTTAAGTTTTCTTTGTCCATGACTTGTGGGCTGTCGCTTCTGCGCCTGCCGCTCCTCCTGCAACTGCTGCTCAACAAGTGGACAACAGTTGACATTGTTGAACAATGTTGAACCGTTCAAAATCCATGTAAATATATATATATATATATAAGTGTGTGTGTGTGTGTGAGTTTGTGTTTTGTGTGTTGCTAAACATGAGAGCATCTACTTAGACCAGTGACTTGTGGGACCCAAAAAAAAGTGATTGACACTCTGATTGATGGCACTTTGGCTCGCTGGGCAGTTTTGGGTTTATGACTTGACTTGTTGACCAAGTTTTTCATTGTGATTGCATTTAAGGCAAAATCTACCAAACTATTTGTCAGCATTTTTTTGTTGTCCTACGAAGAAATTGATATTAAACTGATTTTGACAGATTTTTGTGATTTTCTTAATATTATTGTTCTGAATTATCTTTTAGTGCTCGTTTTATACAACTTTTTTATATAGTTGCAATATTAGTCTAATTAAATAAAATTCAACGTGTGCAGTCAATCGACATCGAGATTTATGAATCAATCATTGATTTCTTATTACATAACTAATTCTAAATAATAAATATTTATTTAATATTACTTATTATGTATGAACTTTGACCACATTTTCTTGGCAATATCACAAAAATATTTATTGTTGTCATACTCGATACATAAAGTTAACTATCAAATATTTTCTTACCAAATTATTGATGCATAATAGCAAAAATAGCGCGCGAAATATAATATTTAATGCTTTATTAATGTATAAAATTAAAAACTTTAGCGATCAACTGTCAAAAACTTATCGCTTAAGCCATTCTTTTCTGTGAGTCTGCCAATGTTTGACTTTTAATAACATTATAATCACGTAGTCAAAACTTTATCGCTTTATCAATTTTTTCTTTCAATGCTTCACGGTACGTGCTCTGGCTGGCATTGTCAAATAAATTTCATGATTTAATTCCTCACCGTTTCTCATTTTCGTAATATTGGTTAGCAACGCCTGTTTTTTTATTTTTTATTTTGGAACACCGGCAATAATTCCCAATGCAGCTCAGCAGTCAGCAATCCTTTGCTGCAATTGTTTGACAATTTTTCAACAATTTCCCAGCTGACTTCAAAATTGTTTGGCGACCCACCACCCCTTCCCATCCTATCACGACAGTCTGACACATTGTTTTTGCTCGTGCGTGTGTCTGTGTGTGGATCTGTGTGAGTGTGTGTGTGTGTGCATTTTTCACACGCTTTTGCGTTGCTGCTGAAAGTATGCAACACTTTTTGCGCTTTACATTGTTTAGCGCTTCGCTCGGCCGAAGGGGCGGATGAGCAACGAGTGGAATAAAAGCAGCAGCAGCAGCAGCAGCAGGAGGGAGGAAGAAAATCACGGCTGGTGTTGGCCTTTTAAGGCGTTTTGTTGCTATTTTGTGGAGTGTGTGCCCCTGTTGTATTTCTCTCTTTGTTTTTTCTTGCTGCTGTAATTTGTATTTTATTTTGTGTGCTCCCCCTGTTTTCATGTTGTGTTGTGTTTTGGTTTTCTTTTTTTGTATTTTCTTTTGGCTGCGCTTTACGGTTGTTGCCTCTTGGCGAATGTTTGGTTTCAACATCATTTTACGTTAGCATCGTTTGTTCGTGTCGCTTTTGAAGTCGCCTTTGTAGTTGTGTTACACACAAAATTTAATTTATCAGCACTCCCAAAACAGATCACAGCTCGCAACTTCTAGCTAGCCACTTTGCATTTGACCTATGGCCATGGCCTCAGGCTGGACTTTTTGAATTTTGTATTAACAACGAAAGCTCGCATTGCGAATGTGTCAGCTAACTGAACGCAAATGGTTTTTGGCCAAGGCAGTTGCTGGTTGGCTTCTAGACAAATACAATGTGATAAGGTTGTAGGAATGGTTAGTATTATTTCAAGCTGCTAACATTTGACCCAAGAGACCGCATTGGGAATGTGTACTGCGCAGTGATGACTAAATTTGAGTCTCCTAATTTGGAAGTTGCTCTATTCACTACCCAGCCATGCTGAATGCATAAAAGTTGACTGGCCAATAACGGGCAACTTTAGTTTGTTACTCGCAAACTTGCAATAAAGTAGTTGAGACTCAGAGAGAGAAAGAGCAGCACGCATCAGTGGTTCTCTAGTCTCTAGTCTCTAGTCTCTGTGCATTTTGTCTGCAATCTCAGCTCACGTTCACATCTGAAAGTTTCATAATCATCTCTAGAGTTTACCGACAAACTTGGCCGAAATGCAAGGCCAATGCAATAGTAGTATATGCCAATTGCTTGAAGCTGTCTAATGGAAAATATCATTTGGGAAGTAGATTATTTGATAATAAATAAAGTTGAAATAGTTTGTTATAAATGAAAATCAAATATCAATTAAACACTACAAAACAACAATTTAATATGAAACCAAATTATTTACCAGCAATTGCATAATTTCGACAATGCACATAGGACCTCGAATTGCATTTTAATCTTTTAGAGCACATTATAAATCAATTTACATGCCCTATTTCAATTATTTAAGTTTCAACTGAGAGCCCAAAGTTTTCATTGTCTAGCTTTAAGCCTTGGGGATGCTTTTAATTTTTAAATTGTCACAGTTTGAGTTGAAGTGCACTTTGGACTAAAAATCTTCCAGCTCCGCCTGCTCGCTTATCTGTGCCTGGAGAGTAGAATGGCATCGGTGCCTGTGTGTGCCGTGTACGTGAGCTGAAAGCTGAAAATACGCTTTGCAGATAATATACATATAAAGCATAAAGTAATTAAATATACTGCAGAGACAAATAAGACAGCATAAAATGGCCAAAAATATTGTGGTTATTTTAAACTAACTCAAACATTATTATATAAATCATTATAGAGACATTCTGTTTGACTATCTGGAGTTGAAGTTTAGATCGGATCAACTTAATGTTTTCAAAGGGATTTCTCATTTCTCATTTTTTCTTCAAGACCCTCTTACCCACCAAAAAAGCACTTGAAAAGAAAACAAACAATAACTCAGCCCCACTTTTTTCAACATGTCGAATGGCTGCGTAATTGTAATCATTAGGCAAACAAAAAAGGGCATTTACAAATTGTAGACAAATTTGCGCAACTTGAAGGCAGTTGCTGACACCTCCACTCGTTTAGGCTGAGTCGTATCCTGGGCATTAAGCTGCTGCTCAGACGATTCAACTACTTAGACGGCAGCCAGGCACTGTCTGCGATGTCTGCGATGCTGGCTAATAAATCATTGAGACTTGACACGAAAATTGGCTTAAATGCGTTGGCATTATGGCCAAAATCAACAGACGACGTCCAGGCGGATCCTAGCTGAACCGTACTTTGGATGCGATAAGAGGAGACGCCGCCTGTCGCAGCAGGTGCGCTTCTTCTCAAAGGGGGGCGCCACAGAATGCGTAAATTAATATGCTCGTGTACTTTTACAAACAGAAAACTCACAGTTGCCCATAAATACCAGATACGGTAGGCCCATGATTTTTCTAAGGCATCTTTATTGTTTTTGTTGCATAATTTTTGCTGAAAGTCGTACATTTTCATTTGCTTTGCTTCCATGTTTTTCACGATATATTAAAGTTGTGTGCCATTTTGGATGCCTTTAACTGTAAGCAGACAGCCACAATGGACTGTGAAAAAGAATTCAAGGCATATTTCTTGGCCCGTTGGCGCAGGCAAAATATCATAATAAATAAATCTACTTTGAATTAGCACCATTTACTTTACATTTATTTTGGCCACCATACAATTTATTGCGTTCAACGCTTCAACGATTTTGCTCTTGTACCGATTTTCGCTTTGGTGTTCCCACAATTTTGGGCACGTGCTTTTTGGCTAATGAAGTTTTGAGGTCTGGCCAACAGAGCCTCTCAAACGAAGTAGCCTGTCCCCAAAAGGTGAGTGCAATCTAGTGGTAAACAGAAATAGCTCAATTTGAAGTATGTTCAGAAGCTTTTGTGGGTTTAATGATAAGGAAATGAATGATGGGTATTGGCTGAATACTTCCTTGTAAGAATTGCGTTTATTTACTTTATACCGTATACATAGGTACATTTTCATATTTTTTGCTTAAAAATACATTAATTTTATGTATATTCGTTATGTGTATACGTATATACATAATTGTTTATTGCCTGCCGACTTATTTATACAATATAGATATGTTTTTCGTTAGCCTCAATATATTTCATCTTTACAGATTGATTCTCTTTGCCCGCCTAGTTAAATGTAAAGTTTGAAATTTTCTAAATATTTACAATTAATTAGTGACTATATTGAATGAGCTAAAGTGCAATAAAATGGATGATCGGTAATCGAAATCTATTTAATCTATTTTTTTAGTTTATTTTTCTAGCCTTTTTTAAACAGTTTTTAGAGCGTAAAAGAATAACTCGCGCTAATATTCAAGATTGCAATCATAATTATTTATCAAACTATAACCAATTCCCAAAGTTCAATGAAGTGTTTAATTAATGCAAGACAATGTAAAAATATTTATCTTCAGAACTTCATTGTCAAACAGTTGAATCCATTTCTCGAAAACATCTACTGCAACATATTTCTGTGTAGAAATTGTAGTCAAATATTCATCAGTATTTCAAAGGCAGTAGAATTGCTGCTCAAAGTTGACTTTGTCACATTTACATTCCAATTTCATTCCCCTATCGCTCTCTCTCATTCTCTATGTCTCTTTCACTATCTCTCTAGGGGCCCACATTTCTCGTTTATTCAAGCGATTGCTATTGATTTTTAGTGCTATTTATTGGCCACCTTGGCATATATTCTGGCTAGTTTTCTGCACGATGACAGCAAACAAAAAATTAAGTTATTTATAAGCACAAAGGCCATGGACTCTAACCAAGGCGTGCACAAATACAAGTCAACAAAGCAAATGAATTGGAATTTGGCATTTTCCAATTGAGTACGATAGCGTCTCAAATGGCAACACATGAAATACAAAATACGAATTGCTAAGCTAAGCGAAAGCCAACCAGAGCATAAATTTGCAATTAATTTTTAAGTTCAACAATTTAGTACTGTTTTCATATTAATAAGCGCCAAACACATGCTTACTATCGGAGCGAAGGAGGGTTAAGGCTTGCTGCACAATACAATAGGGGAAAATGAATTTGCAGTGAGCCAGAAACGAGTTTGGGCAAATGTCACAGCTGTCTTGTAGAGCAAATACATTTTGTGGTTGTCGCACCAACGCACAAAAGTATACAATAAATTCGATTTCACAGGGGGTTGCCAGGCAAGGCATGAAGGTTGTGTGAGTGTGGCGAGGATGGCAAGTGTAGCGAAATATCAAAGGCAACAAAAGCAAAATCAGTTTCTGATGCAGAAGTTAGGCAACAACTATGCGCTCAACTTGGCAGCTCAGCCTGCTTGTAATATTTTGTATTGCATAGTTGCAAACCAGTGGCAAGCCCAAGTTTGCTGTCATATTGTTGCCCCGCCTTGTGGCTCATGTGCAGCCATAGAAAACGCATTCGCAAAGGCCACCAAATGTTGCCAGCAAATGTTACGTGCCACCACGACCACACAGCTCTTTCGTAAGCTCTGAAAAATATTAAAAAAGAGTTGTGAAAGTTTTTTACAAAAACTTTTTTAACGCTTTCTTTCACATTCTTCACGAAGCTTGCCATGACGTAATTTACTAGCCAGTTCAACGTGACCATGAAAATGTGGCAAGCACATCAGCGACCCCTGAACGGCAAGTTGTGCTGATTTGATCCTAACTGATTGGCAATTGAGATGCTGAGTGCTTGACTTTTAGCTCTAAAAAAGACCTTACTAGCAAGTTGTTGAGCAATACAATTTTTCAATAAAGAATAAATTTTTTTAATTTGTCACGCTATATTTTAATTTAAATAAAATAATAAAATATAGGTTAAAAAATCCATAAAATAATATTAAAAATCTAAAATGAATTATATACATATAAATTAATGAGATATTCATGCAAATAAATATAATATAATTAAATCAATTCTTTTCACGCCCTGGAAATTATAAAATGATACGATTGACAAAACTCAGTTGATTTTGCGCCACCTGCGTAAAAACAAAAGCAAGCTAAAATTATTTATTTAAGAAACATCAATCAACTAATTACAGTTTTTCAGTCAGCCAACTGACAATTTAAAGCCAACCAGCCACTAACACCAAATTTCAAACTCAGTGCACAGTTCAATTAAACGCTAATTAAATTAACTGTTAGCTTTATGCGAAATACACGTTCAACTGAAATCATTACAAGCTAATAAAATTCACGTATTCCCAATCCTCCGGAATGCCATATTCTAAACACAGAACGCAATAGCGAAAGTCCATTTGACATTTACCCAGTTGGCCATTTACTAAATATTTTATGATGCGTGCACTGCATTGCATTACCTGTTTGGGGAATATACGGCTGGCTTTGCCCCCAAACCCCCACATTAGTTGGCAGGTTGATGGTTCGTATATTGATTGGTTGATGGCAACTTCATTCACAGCTGCTGCACAAAAGTCAAATGGCGCAATTTGTGCAATTTCATTTTTCGGTGGCGAAAATTACAAGCTACTCGTAAAGAAGGCGTCGAACAATTGGGTTAAAATATTGGAAAAATACATGAAGCGAACACTCATAGTTCCCTTACCCCTGAATCCGCCCTTCTCGTCTCCCCCAGCAACACAAAAGCAGTTCACTGGTTTCAACTATGCCACCAGCAAATGCGGTTGCCAAGTGTGTAGGTGTGTGTGTGTGTGTGTGTGGGTGTGCGTGTGGGTGTGCGTGTGCGGCTTTGAGTTTATTTTTGTTTTTGGCTGTGCAACCTGTATATCTATTTATACAGATGTAAAGCAGCTCAATGCTCAAACCACAAATTGAATTTCCACCAAAGCCAACTAAACTAAAATTAACTATTAAATACCTGTAAATGTTACTCGCTAACATGTTTTGTCTCTTTCTCTTTTGCACAATGCATATCGCTCGCGTTCCCAACTTCTTTCGTCGCCCAAAGCGGAAATGCAAAACCACGAGGAGCTGCTGGAAGACATACGCGACGATACGGCCGTTAATGTGATACCAGAGAAAGGTAAGACGACTTCCCTTCTTACTCCCATTTCGACCATTTCAATTCACATACACCTTCATCTGTATCTACAAGCTGTGAGAACATTTTTAAGTTCTTCCAAGAATGAGTAGGAAAAGTACATTGATTGTTGGCAAAGCGAACTTAAAATGTATGAAATAAAAATATAGATTATTTTGCTCAAATAATAAATAAGTGAAATAAAATCTATCAAGAGATTTTCTTTATAAAACCCAATTAAGTATAATGCAAACTTTTATTAACACTGATTGATTAATAATTTAATAAATATAAATTTCATTTTAAGCTTTTATAAATTCAGTCAGTTAGTATCTATGGTATTGGTGTAATCATGATTACGGTTACCACTTCAATCGAATTACTATTTTGCTTTGGAAAATAAATAATAGATTTCGATGAGCAAAAACAATTGGGTATCTCAAAATATTTTAAATATATTAATATCTCTATTATCATTGGTAAACTAATAACTTTTCCATAATAATGCATAGTTTTGTCCCCTACAATTTTAAAAAACTAAAGTGAATATTCACAGAAGATATTATTCACCTGTCGAATCAAGATTGCAAATTTGTGCATTTTAATTTAAGTTTGCAAAATATTTTTGGAAATATTTACTATGAAAATAGGTTTTTGTTAAACTCCTTTCAGTTTAATAAGCATAGCCTCTCTCCTGTAAGTAAGTAAGAAAATAATTTAAGAAGTCTGTTTTCTTTGCTGGCGTATTTTTTTAGAGCAAATACTCTTCGTTATACGCAAACTTGTTTGCCGTATCGCGTTACTTATCCCAAGCGTCACGTGCTTTTTTCTTGCCCCTCACTCGCGTGTTGCCCCACCGCTCTGCGGCATTAAGTCAGTCGTTGAGTTGGTGTCTGTCTTTAGTTGCTTCAGTCGCGTTTGCTGTTGTCACAGCGTTTTTTCTCGCTTTTAAATTTTATTTATTGTAAATTGTATTTGAAACGTGCTGAGGTTCCATTTCTGCGCCACCCATGCCATGCCAACAAAAATTTCGAGGCAAGAGCTGCTGTTGACTCTAATATGTTTGTATGTGCTGTATTGCCATGTGTGTGTGTGTGTTTGTGTGTGTGCTTATGCGTGTGGTTGTGTGTGTGTGTATCGTGCAACTTAATAGAGTTGTTTAGCATTTAAATAGCGCCATTTGCCGTTGTTGTTGTTGTTGTGCTTATTAAGTTAAAATGCCGAGTCGCGTTGAGTTGACTTAATAAAGTGAGCTTAAAGTTGAATTTAGCAAAGAGGAACAAAAATGCGCCCAGTGGGCTTATGAGAATGCGGCCTAAAACCACTCAACGATAAGCCAAAGTGGTTGCATAACTGTATTTTATAGTACAAATAAAGACTGATATGATATGAGTGGCTAAATGAATGCATGTGTGCACTGCATAAATAACAAGAAAATAAAGCAATTGCAATATCAAGAAAAGCTTTGTTTAAAAATCGTTGCTCCAAAGAATGTATAATAAATGTATAAATTAACACTGGTTAAGTAAATTAAGCCAATCAAAATGGATTGAAATGAGGGTGACAATTTGTATACGTATTTTATTTCGCCTATCAGCAGCATAGATAAAAAAATAAGCTTTGTGACAACAGAGCCCATTCTCATAACTGCTCACATCATATATTGCTATGTAATGCATTTTTGACAGATAAGATTACAATTACAAAAATCCATAAGCCGACACCTCAGATGGCTTACACAAATGGCGCGTATACTTTCCAAAACTCAGCAACTAAGCCACTTCAAGCTGCCTACACAAGCAAAATCTGCATGTTTTGTTCTTTCATAGGGAAAAGGCGAAGAACCACAACAAATATTCAGACCCTGGGGGGGAACTCAAAAACGATTTGCTGTATTCGCATATATCATAAGCATTATGTTAAATACAGAGGCACAAGGGATATGCAGAAGGATGTGCAATAAATCCACTCAAGGCACAAGACATATGCACATTAAATCCTAATTTCATGTGCCCATAAATCCACTAAACAATCACACCCAAGTCTATACCGAATGATGTGCCACAACAAAATATGTAACGAATTTGCGAATTTGCACATATTTACACACGAACGCGCCAAAAAGTATGCCATAAAAATACACGCAACGCTGGAAAGGGGCCGTGGCTCGCAGGGGCGTGGCAGCGGGACAGCGGGGCAGGCACATATCAATATAAACGGAGCCAAATCAAATGAGTTGGCAAAAGGCAACAGAAAGCCATAACAGAATGGTGGGTGCAAAAGAGACAGACGAAGGCAACAGCCGAGTGTGGGTGGCTGGAACGTTAAGCCAGTGCTGGAGTGAAGTGTGGGAGGGGAAGAGGGAACAGGAGCAGGACAGTCTGTGGTAAATTTTTATTGACGCGTCAGGAGCTGGGTAATCGAGCTTATTAGCTCGCACAACAGCAGCGAGCAGAGCGAAATGGGATATTATCACTGTCTATACTTGAGCAATTGGACTCCCTTTTTGCCATTATTATTACCTAGTGGAGCGTACTTCAGGGCATACGAAGCGAAACGATTACCAACTACAAACCAAATCTTGAATACGCTCTGCAATAAATCAGATAAAGGAAATAATACAAAATATATATTATCTATGATAGAGTATAGTATACATTTTTTACCATAAATATTATTCTTATTATATTTATTTACTGTTTAAAAATTAGATCATTGATTAAAATATTCTTTACATGGGTATAAATATAAATTAAATATTCAAAACCATATTTAATGTAATTATATTATTTTAACATGACTATCTAATATTTAACGAATGCTGCTGTCAACAGAAAATTCTTCAAAAATAACAGAGCATTAAGGAATTTATAACACAAAAGTCTAACAAAATAAATAATTTTTGCGTTCAGCATAACCAAAAATTGTATAAGTAATAGAGCAAGTTAAAAGCTTCGTGAATTTCAATTGGCTGACTAATTTGTATGCTTACTTTTTATTACATTCAATATACCCGCTACACCGATTAGTGTATATTAGGCGGCGCAGAATGTGGTGTTTAGCCGGAGATTAGGCGACAATCCGCAACATGACAACACACACACACACACACAAAACAAACAAACCAGCAAACAGCTAAAGAACTGAGCAACATATAAAGTTGTTGTCAGTTGTTGTTTCAAACTTTTGAGCTGTTTACCCCTTGCAAGTGAGATTTACGGCCACATCAATACACATCAAACAAAACATACTCAAGTCGTCGCATCGTCTCTCTCTCTCTTTCTCTCTCTCAATTTGTCTGTCTCCCTCTTCCACTGTCTGTCTTTTCTTATCACATTGTTTACGCATTTTGAGTACGAGATTGTTATGTGTTGATTTGCTCTAACTGACGCGTGCCCCGCATTCATATAAGAAAGCATCTCCAGCCTACGGCTTGGCATTTATATATATATTTTTTGTTTGTTTTCATAACATTCGTGGGAGTATGCGTAACACCAGCTTTGAGGTCTCCTTGGCATGTCAGCGACACAATCACAGACACACCCAACACACCCACCAATAAGAGTCAAATTTGTGTTGTTGGCGTGGGAACTTTTAAAGGTTGCCACTCAAAACCACAAATCTGTTGCATACTTGTGGGCGCGCTTTTAAAGTCAATCCGCGCTTTGTACGCATCCCTTGGCTTTTGAGGGGTAATGCATTGATTGACTGTCTGACTAAAAGTGAATGGCTCACTGGCAAATCTTCCTTTCAAAAAGTTGACCACAGCAAACGATGGTTCTCAGCAGGCAATTACAGCGAGTGTGAGAATTGCATATATCTTTTGGAAAGGTAAATTAATTACTATAGAAAGCAGGCACAGATTAAATACAGATAGTTAATAAATTATTAATCACAATTTATTTGTGATTTGTGTTATATATATTTTTTTATAAATATATAAAATACATTTGTATATTTGATTTTCTGCTGTGAAACATCTATAACATGTGTGTCCGCAGTTCCGTAGCATAAGTCTATTACAAATTGTTCTTTGCCGCCACCAAACATACAAAGTCTTACGTCATGCTGAAGTCCATTGAAGGTTGGGTCTACCGATGATGCTAAAACTCTTATCGAAACAAGTTAATGTAAATGTTGTTGTTAGAGTGGCAAATTTAGAGCCAGATGAAAAAAATAAATCAAGCGGAAAAGGTGATCCATGTGTGAACTCCTTGGAGAAATTTAAATTATCATACGGATTATGTGTGATAAGTATCTCTTACTCGATTCCCTTTGCTTACCCGCCTGTAAATAAATGGCTTGGTAATGATGATGCTGAATTTCTTTTATATGGTACAGCACTTCAAAAATGTATATGGTTAATTAAATTAAACATTTCAGCTATTGCAATATTTCTTAGAAGTCCCTCTTTGGGTCTGGTTATCCCTTGAAACATATTAGAGCACTAATGTGAATAGTAATATAAGAAGTGTCTTTAGATCACCCTTCTAAATTCTGGAAAGTCTTTAGAGCTTGCGGTAATTTCTGATCAATTTAAGTTTTGCACTCTCGATATTATTGTTTTTACTGCAGTTGCTAGTCGCCTTATCCAAGAATTGAGGATCTTAGCTCGAGCGCTAATATGATAAAAGTTAAGCTCCCCTATTCTAAGATAAGTTTGACATAATGCACTCTTCTAATCAACTGAAATGATTTTAATGAGATTATCAGTCGAATCGAATGAAGGTATATACAGAGGTTTCAATACTCAAAGATAGGAAACGCTCTAATATGTACCTTGTTTTGGATTAGACTGTTATTTTGCTTTGTTATGTTCACTGTTCACTTTCTAATCTTTTATTTGTTCTGCATTACAGATCTGCCAAAATTTGGCGAACTCCTGCAGAATGTCACGGTGCCCGTCAGTCGGGAGGCTATCCTCCAATGCGTTGTCGACAATCTACAAACATACAAGGTAAGTTGTTATTTTTCAATTGATGCTCTACTTAAATATCAGTAGGCAGGAATGTTAATTGTTCAGCAATAGGTAACAATTAGAAGCACAGCAGCCATGACCAGGTGTCGCTACTAATGGAAATCGCTGACGGGCCTGTCATTTCAAACAGTTTACACTTCATCAAATAAAACGTGGCATAGTTTCAACAGACGCTCCTCCCCACGAATTCCTTGTGCGTGTTGATGTTTATGTGCGTGTCCTCTCGTTAAACGCATAATGCGTAGGCCATTTGGGTTGACCCTTTTTGTAAGGGTTTTTCGGTTCCAGCCTTAGTTCTGTCTCACTCTGTTTTTCACTCGGCACCCCTCGAGTTCGGGGCACGTTTCGAAGCCCCTTGGGCGCCACTTTGATTTCGTGACCCGCTGTGTAAAAGCAGCCAGAAAAAAATACTGCTCAATGAATTGCCGAAATGAAAGTAGCAAACGGCTAGCCACAAATTTGTGTTAGTCAGCTTTTAGGCCCATTGCCGTATTTCTGGTATAGTAAATGGTAAGGTAAGTGGACCTGGTGAAAGCGCACGCAACAAATTGATAATCTTCGTGCTGGGCCGGCCCTAGATGATGATATCGTGGGGATAGCTTCGAAATGGTAAATGGTAAATGGTAAATGTGATGCTTATTATGCTGGTAATTCTGAATAATGTTGTTGGGCATTGTCCGTTGCATTTGAGCATACAAATTGAAAGCTAGTGAATTGATGTCTTTTATAATAGAAGACAACAAAATCTCTACCTTATAATCTGAGAGCTCTTGAGTGTGTTATGAAAGTAACCTGCTCTTAGTTTGTAGACTGAAATTTAAAAGAACTGAACAACTCATTTCAGTAATAAAAGAAAGTAAAACGAATCCAATTCAATTCAGAGATGTGGCTGCTAACAACATTTTGTTATGTGAAGTCTTATGACAAATTCTAAGAACGCCAGATTGTATAGTATTCAATTATAAACTATGCAATAAGGAATACTTGGAATTTAGCATAACCAAGGCCAATCAACAAATATCTTGAGCCACCTACATTGAAGCACTAAAGCATGTTATTAAAAAAAAAACCGTAAGAAACTACAACTTAACTACTCCTGCTACTCTTTGAGGTATTTTTGCCATTACATGCATCACTCCTTACCGTTTTACACATTAGCCAAAACGTTGTGCGCCTCTTGGTGACATTTTCTGTCTTTGGGCTAATAAATGAGCTCGGGCCACGCTAGTTCAGCATTAACATTGTAGCTAAATCGTCGAGCGTTTTGGTTTTACAATTTTCCCATTTACTCCGCAGCCTTTTCAAAGCGTATTTTTCTTTTCTTGCTATTATATTTTGTGCAGATTGCGTGGCTACGTGTCGATACACAAACGATTTTAACGATACAAAATCACGTCATAACTAAAAATCATCGCATGAGTATTACTCACGCCGAGAAACGTGCCTGGATACTGCGTATACGTGATGTCAAGGAGTCCGACAAGGGCTGGTACGATATAGAACTATCAAAAATATGTAAAATTTATTATGTTCCACATTACCACAGAATCGAATGTAGATAACCAGAAATACATTTTTACATTTACATTTTGTATATTCTTTTTTATTTGTATTTTTTATAACGAATTTAAAAGTTCTTCTAAAAATGCTGTTTACAATATTCTCATAAAAATATTCACATAAACTCAAATATGTTATTTTATAAAGATTTAAGTTTTAAATATTAAATATTTTATTTTTTCTTAAAAAAAAAGAAGTGTTTTTAAACGAAACTTTAGTTGTATACCATTATTATTATAATTTAAGATCTGAAATACAAAATATATCAGTTTTTATTTGTTCTAAATTATATTTGCGACTTGGGAAGTCATTCGAATATATGTGCTTATTTATAGAGCAATTCCCTTTACGATTATGTTTAATTTGTATTTATGACTGGCAGTTCAAATTTGTTCATAAACGGCTTTCTCGGCTGCCTCTTGGGGCATTTATGAGTTGGTGTTTCCTTCTTGTTTTTATTTTACAACATGAGCCCAACATAAGAAGGAAACTAACATGAAAATATTTATAACTGACAGGTATATGTGCCAAATAAACACGGATCCGATGAAAAGTCAAGTGGGCTATTTGGACGTTGTCGGTGAGTAAAGAATTTCACCTAAGTAGTTATAAGTTACGTATATGAACTGCAACCTAGCTGCTAGTCAAGTTGGTTAAATAAGAATATGTATGTAAAGGTATGTTAAGTGAAGTTTGATTTTTCTTTTTAAATTAACAAAGTTGGATTTTTGTTTTTGAAAATAAACAAATGCAATTGCAGTACAATTACTGGAAAATAGGCGAGTGTAAGTATAATTTGTCATGATTGTGGTCGGGCCTCTCAGTGAGTCGATCAGCAGACGCCCCAGACTTGTGCATCAATGCGCAGCTGATAGTTATTTCAAATTGCGCTAATTGCTTAGCCAAGTGGCAAGTGCAAAGCGCACAGTGGAAAGTGGGCTAGTTAGATGTTTCAATGGGGTCGGAAAAGTTTTGTACAACTTCGAAACAACTCACGATTGAGTCTAATTGCATCGGCTGACGACTACGTTTAGTTTAGTTGCAGGGGCGTTTTGTATTTTTTGTTTTTCTTTTTAAACTATTGGCTAATTGAGTTAGTCAGCTCTTTAAGCTGAGCACTGAGGCGTATTTAAAGTGGGGATGGCGTAGACTTACTTTTCACTTAGCAAGCACATTAGTTACTCTCTTTCTATCTCTATCTCTTCTGTCTATACCTGGTATGAGACAATGAACAGTTAGAAAGTTCCTGCCGTGGCAAAGTGAAAGGTAATGAAACAATTTACATGAAACGTGCGTCTCGCCACCACCTCCCCTACGCTGTTTTGCTGCAGTCCAATAGTCCTATGTCCATTTCCATGTTTATATCCGTGCCCATGTCCATGTCCATGTCCGTGTCCGTGTCCGTGTGCCCACGTTAATTATTCAGCTAGCGTACAAAAAACCTCAGAGGAGACAAGCCCAGCGTCGGATCCCAGACAGATTTTAAATGAATATGCCGCCCCCAAGGCTTGGTTTGGGTTTGTGTTTCAGTTGGGGTTTAGGTTTGGGTTTGCGTTTGGGTTTGGGCTTGCGTTTGGTTCCGGCTTCAAGTTGGGGGCCAAAACCGCGGCATTTTACTACGGTCGTAAGTAACCACTTTGGTTGATTGTGTTTTCATTGATGTCGAAATTCATTACAGCCGCCTACACTGTGCGAAATTTATTCAATCGCACAGAAACAAACAACATCAAATTCACAAAATTATTGCTGCCGGTTTTAGAGCAGTGCAACAAATTTCAACCAAATGAACTACGTCCATAAGCAAAATGGTAAGCCGCTTTAAATCAGGCCGGCTTTTGCTGCCACTGACAAAGTGCGCGATTCTTTGTTGCATACTTCTTGGCCCCACACACTGAACTATTCTAAGAGCTGAAATGTTGTCATCGTCATGAAATCATTGTTTATTCAGTGGCGTTGTGAAATATTAAACACTTAAGGCCAGACCGATAAGTAAAGCGCAAACTTCCCTGCAGTTTAAGAAAAATATAAGCCAAATAAAATTGTAATGAATATGTCCAATAATTAAATATTAAGATTACCATTTGTTAAATGTTAATTAGTGCTTGGTGAGGTTCTGTGTTATTAACATAAATAAGAATAGTTGTACAAATTAATAATATACAACTTAGCATGTCATCAAATAATTAAGCTAATTTGACTATGAAAGTAGGACTGTAAAATATTTTCAATATTTTTAATAAAATATAGAAATATCGACAATTAAAAAAAACCAATAACTCTAAAGAATTTATAGTTAAATATAGATAATTTATTACTATTATATTATTAAGAATATCAATAGGTAGAAAATGTAAAAACTGAAGAAAAACAGGTGCAATAAAATACATATAATTTATTCTGGTAAAAAGAATCTGTCATCGATAAATCGTATTATGCATAATGTGTTATCCTGTAAGAAAAAATAGCATGCAGGTCAAATAAAATGCCTAACTAAAGGAATCTCACAAAAAATATACGAACAGATAATTACAGATGGCTGGAGCCGTACGACGTTGTTCACAAATAGCCGTTAGCAGCATCAATAAAACATCAATGGATGAAAATATATTGTTTCAAATTAATAATTCAATGCCCCAATATAAAAACAATCATCCAAACAAACAACAGACAAACAAAAAGAATTTTGTAAGTGCAAAAGCGCGAAAAAAGCTAATAAAATAAAAATTTGAAATAAATGTGCTCACGATATTTATAGATGAAAAATTTGCTATCCATTTTCGGTCAGCTTTGATGCATGACAGTAGAGGCGATGCCCATTGCTTGATTGAGTTTCCTACTAAAATATAGGATTGTCGGGTAGTGGCAGTGGGCCTGGTCACTGGGCGGGCATCCAGGGGAATAAGCTGTTAAAGTGTCAAAACGTCATTCGGTGGCATCGATAGTGGATTTAACCGCACTCTGCATAGTGGAAAATGTTTGAAAATCACATTTCAATGCAAAAAAATCGCAATTTAAAGAATGTGTTAGATATGTCGCTCATCATCGATGTTGAGACCAGCATAAGAGCAAAACATTATTACAAAACAACATTACACGTATTTTAAGAACATTTTTTTTATCAATATCAATATCAAAATGTTTATTTATTTTTTCGCTTGAGTTTAGCACACTTGAAATTAATTTTTATCACACATCACATTTCACTTCATTTCATAACTTATCACCCACTGAGCACAGCGATAAAAAGCTTTTGCAATCCACCCACCTTTCTCCCTGAACACACACACACACATGTCCCTCAGCTCGCTCATTTGTCGCTCGGCTCCTTTGGCTGCTTTTTGTGATTGAGGCGTGTGACATGACTGAGCCCATTACAGGCAAGTCAACAGCCTGCCCTGTGCCTACTCGACTTGTAAAACATGACGTATACGTAATGTGTGCAGGGAAAAAGGCAAAAGTACATTTTGTACAACATGCTCATCATTGTTGACACGAAGACTTTCAAGTTTCAATGTGTACATGATGTGCGTAATAACTTGGCTCTGTTGACTTTTGGTTTCTCTAAAGTGTAAGCCAATCGGCCACCCAGTGTGGGCCCAAAACGAAGGCCCCCCCCCCCCACGTCGCTGATTGTCGTCAATTATTTCTTGGAAGCTGTCGTTGTAATATAAATTATTAAATTGCAACGTGCTGCTTGATGTTTCTGGCATTTTCGTACATTTTTCTGTGGCCAAATTGAAAACAAATTGAAAAAAAGTTCTTAAAAGCACATTTAAGTTATCTTACCTGTAGGGGGAACGGGGAGGGGAACACTCATTCATTAAGTGACCTGGGAGCGCTCTTATGTATTCCCACTTCTTTTGGCTCACTCTTTGGGTCACTCGTTTTGGGCAAGTGAAAAATTGTCAAGCGTAAATTATAATTAATTGCCAAGTAACACCAGAGACAGGCGAGCACAACAGGCGACAGCCCAGGTGCTTGTCCCGTTCCTGGTCACAGTCCCAGTCCAGTGCCTGGCAGCTAGCAGATAGCTTGCTGCATGAGAATGTCAAAAAATGGAGCGAGCGACATGTCCTTGTGGGATATGCATGAGTTCTGCCCCTGCTGTCCTTATATAGTGATATTGTGATTGTGGAGTGCAGATGCACACAAGCACCTTAATTGGGGAAATATATTGTTGCTGTATTTCTTTTGCTTGATGTTCATTGTTGAGGCTGTTTACTTTCATTGCAGAAAGAAAAAAAATCGTGTATTTAATGGCCAATTAAAATAATGCATAATACTTGGAAATCTTTACAAAAAGTAAAATATTTGTTCGCCTATGTATGAATTTAATACGTTAGTTTTATTGGGGGACATGTAATTTTATTTCTTTAAGATTTATGTCTGTGCTGTTTTATGAATTTATATGTTGTCAATTATATATGTAAATATTTAAAAATTTATGAATTTCTGTTATAGCCCGAGAAATGGAGTTGGTAGTAAAAATTTTGTTAAAAGCCTACTGAAAATAAAGCCACTCATCCAAATTTCTTTATTGCATTTTCTCACTTACATGATCTGCTGACGATAACAACAACAACAACAATAACAACATCAACTATAAACCAACCAACTAACCAACCACCCAAAAATGTCATCAACAACAACAATAACAATGTTAACTGCTCCTGCCAACTGCTGACACGTGGCGAACAATTCACGGACCTCATGCTCATTTCATTGCAACATTGCACGGCCCACTCGGCGTATGAATAATATGTCGCTTGTACCTGTTCCCATAACTATGCTTGCATCGCCGTGTGCCCATATGTGTATGTGTGTCTGTGTGTGTGTGCCTCTACCCGCTGCACAGTGCCGCCAGACATACTGGACTATCCCACCAGCACCGATATGGTCATCCGCGAGGGCTCAAATGTAACCTTAAAGTGTGCAGCGACCGGTTCACCAACTCCGACGATAACCTGGCGACGCGAGGGTGGCGAACTGATACCACTGCCCAGTGGGGCCGAGGGTAAGTACCTGGCAGACAGCGACTGAAAGTGTGAGTGGCTGAGTGAGTGTACCCGTGCGAGTGAATGAGTGTATGAGTAAATGAGTGTGTGAGTGCCAGTGTGTGAATGCAAGTGTTTGCATTTGCACGCTGAATGCATGACAAATGGACTCTGACTCTGGTTGCCGTCGATTTCACTGCGTGTTTTCTCAGTATTAAATTTTATGAGAGCATTTTAGAGTAAGTTTCTCCAATTCGTATAATTAACTTCAAGCGTGACTTAAGCACAGCATTGCAAGTGCTGCTGTTCCAATAACCACAAACGCCTCATAGTAATCAATTTAGTATTCGTGACAAAGCGCACAAATAAGGCTTCTAATGATATTAATCAAGTGTCGTTTGAAAAATAACTTTTGCTATCGGAGTGTTCCACTAAAATATAATAAGCCTTTTCATGATAAATGGTTGCAAAATGTAATTTGTACTGTGGTGGTGGTGAATAAAGAAACAAAATTTGGTTTTAGATGCAAATCATGATTATTGATAGGAATTATGGTAAAGCTTTTTTTAATTACATTATTTTGATAATCTTTTAGAAATTTGTCAAGTTCGGTTTAAAAAAACATGGGAGAAATACATGGAATATTTACATTTTCCAATAGAAACAGCAGTAAGGGACATTTGTATTATTCATGTGCATACATTTGATGGATAGTTTGGTTAACCGAAGTCAGTAACCGAGTCAGTTTCTGTTGATGCTAATCAAATCGTAGCCTCAATTGACCATTCGTCATTCACTTTACTGAGGCTAGGCTAACAATGAGGCAACAATAATATTTGCCAATCTCTGACTTAAAACTGCAGAAGGCATTCGAAATCCAAATTCAAATTCAGATTCCGATTTACATCCACTTTGCCTAGAGTGGCTTTAAGGCTGTCAGTTTGAGCAAATGGATAAATGATATATTCATTACGCTTCTGTTACTTGGTAACTTGATAAATCGGGCTTCGTATTTCGATTTTGACTTCGACACAGACGAGCCGAAAGTTAAACGCCAATGTGCACCAAATAGCACTCTTCTTCGAATGCAGAACACAAGCAACAAAACTAACAACGTTCGAAATCTGTGTATATTTGCAAATGTGTTATCAATATGATGAAGTTGAAGCACTGCCACAAAATGGGTATTAAATTACATAAGCAATGAGTGCGCTTATTATAAACAAGAGTTGTTTTTGGGAATCAGTTTAAATAGTTTGGGTGTGAGCAAAGATGCTATTAATCTGAAATTATTCACTTATGTGTAAGTAATTGTTATAAGCCTTGGGACAACAATTGTTAGTAACCGAATATATTGCGATAAGTTCTCAAAGAGTATTTTCAAAATATCTAAGCTGTCAGAAAAATGAATAGAGTAGCCTTGAGGTAGTGAGAAAAAAATGAAATGCAGTCGAAAATGAATTTGAGAACGTCCACAAAATGAGTTATATACGAATTTGTGTACCACAATTGTTTGCTGAACAAATTTGCTTGATATCCCAATTAACCAACATAATTTTATACTCTCTGTCTCCCATTTTCACTCTGTCTGTTTTCTTTGTTTTATTTGTGTATTTACAGCTATCGCATACAATGGTTCGTTTCTGACCATTGCCAAAGTTAAGCGCTTGAATATGGGAGCCTATCTCTGCATTGCCTCCAATGGCATCCCGCCAACAGTCAGCAAACGTGTCATGCTCATTGTGCATTGTAAGTATGCGGAATGGAGAGAAGTGGTGGGAGACGGTGGCATGAGAATTGTAAGACTGGGGCATATCAATTTTGCATATTTAAATATTTATAGTTTTACGCTAGAGCACCGCATGGCGTCGACTGTTGTCTGTGTCGGTGGCCTATGAGCAATGTGTTCCAGTCTGGAGCAGAGTGGAGCGATGTGGAGTGGAGCCGGACACAGACAGTGCGACACACAAAGCGCCACTCCAAATCTCACCATTGAAAATATGCTGTGCATTTTAATATTGCCTGAGAGCAGGGCAAACTCTATCCTCTTTTTCTCTATATATCTCTCTCTCTCTCTCTCGCTTAGTGTCTATCTCTCTCTCTCTCTTTGGCACTTTGTCAGTCTGCTGCATACTTTTAGGTGCCATGCATAAAGTAAATAATTAAGTGTGCCCCAGCTTGTTAGCATTTTTAGCGCTCTTTTGCTTTGCCATTTGCCACCCCTACTCCCAATTTTGGTCGTGATGCCGCCGTTAGTGCTGCTAATTAAATAAAAATTTAAGTTGCTCAACAATTTGCCAGGCGAGTTTACTGCTAGATGCGCTGCAAAGTGTGCTACATTTTTGCGCTGGCTTCAACACTGGCGCTCAAAGCAAAGCTCTCTGAAGATTTGAGGTTAATCATTTATCCGCTTGGCAAGTTATTTTACTTATATAATCATAAATAAATGGGCCATCGCCATAGTTCGCCCACAAGTTCCTCTCTCTAACTCTCTCTCTCTCTCCCTCTCTCTCGCCCTTTGTCTGTGACTCACTCTCCCACACTCTGTGTGTGTGTGTGTGGTTTTCTATAAAATTAAAAAGCAATTAGTTGAGCAAATAAAGAGCAACCGCAACAAATCGCATTGCAAAACAATAACAAATGGAATTTTATATAAATGCGAATACCTTCCTCTCATATAGCCAGCATGCCATAGTTCCATTTCCCATGGCATTAATTTAAGCCACATACCTCTACCTGAGCTGCCGTTGCAATTACATTCCAAAATTACTCGTCACAGCTGCTGTCTCCCTCTCTCTATCTCTCTCTCTCTCTCTCTCTCTCTCTCACTCTATATGCTACTCAGAATATTTCACAGAATATTTCAACAATTATCGAACATTTATTTTTTCCGTTCACAGTTCCGCCAATGATTTGGATACAAAATCAATTAATCGGCGCCGCTCTGGGCCAGAATATTTCACTGGAATGCCAATCGGAAGCGTATCCCAAGTCAATCAACTATTGGATGAAGAATGATACGATTATTGTGCCTGGTAAGTGCGACTTTAAGCTAACAAGCAGCTTAGCTCCATATCAGAGTTAATTCTGCTTAACTGGCAATAAGAAAAACACATTCTTAACAATAATCCCCAATTAAGCTTATTTGATTATTTAATCAACTAAGATGCTCAAGTATTTTGCTTTAATGTAGTTTATAAATATTTAATACTTCATTTAAAGTCAAGTGCATACCCGGGTTTTCAATTTAAGTTTTCCTTCCTTGTCCGGTCGCCGTGCCGCACCACTCATCATTTCTTTACATAGAAAAAATAAATGTTGCCGTTGCTCGGTGGCCCCAACTTCCATAAAATGCAGCTAAATGTAATTAATTTGAAATAGTGCCTGAAGATTCAATGATTGCTCTCAAACCCTTAGGCACCATTTCAACTTAATTTCCTGCGGCCATTAAAAAGCTGACCATCCATCCATCCACTCATCACCATCCATATCCAGCCATTCACTCAAACGCCCACTCATCTTGCACGGCAAATGAATTGCATGACAAAAAAGCTGATGGACAAAATGGCAACAAGGGTGAGCACACTCGAAACCGCAACCTTGCTCGAAACTGCACCATACTTCCAGCTCCAATTCACTGTTTGCCCCCGCGTTCCACCTCCATTTGCAGACCTTTGACTGGAGCTAAAAGCTCAGCGAAAAAGTTGCAGACAGTTACTCAGCCATACAGACAGTTTTCTTTTTCTATCTATCAGTTTTTTTCCCCCTTTTTTTTTGTGTTGTTTTCCAGAAACGCCGTGACATAGAATGGAAAAAGTGATTGAAAATGACCTCAAGTCAAAAGCAATTTCAGTCTCGTCCAGTCGTGAGTTTTTAATGGAGTTTCTTCTTCACTCGCTTTTTTCTTTCATTTTTTGAGCACTTTGAATTTTATAAGTCAAAGGTTTTTTTTTGGGAAGTTCTCTGCAAATGAAGTGCGAACATTGAGAAGCTTATGAATATAGGCTTGTAGCATTTAGCGAAGCTGATCTAGCCGCAATTTCGAATTGAGAAAACAATGATTTTAGAGGGATTTCAAGCAGCATATAATAGGATATTTAACAATGACTTGCTTCCGATATCGTAAAATATGAATTTAGTTTACAGCCCTGTCTTGAATTCGCTTAGAAGACTCGCCACAAAATATTTTAATCAAGAATAACATATTAACCCAAGTTGTGTGGGTATCCTTCTTTTAACAAGAAACATATTCTGTGATTTATACAAAAATAAGATGATAACCACTGTCAGAGTTCTTAGCCCTACGCTCATATCTTGTTTAATTGCTTAAAAAGCAATTTTTCTCCTGGCTTAAATCTGATTAAGATTGTAAATAATTTGAAAGAACGCAGACCAATTTAAGTTTCATCAGCAACATGAGCAAAGATCTCTCACTCTTTCTCTCACTTTAATCCATTTCGAAAGCATTTTACTAAACTAATCAGTTGCTTAGTTGCCATGCATAACAATTACCTGTGGCCAAGTTGCCGTAGTTGCCAAGTTACTATACCGAAAATGTTTAACAAAGTGAAATGCCGGGCTTAGTGCCAACTACTAAATCTAACCGACATCAAACGTAAATCAAAACCGGACCAGCAAAGCCAAGGAAAGCAACTCCATTGGGGGTATGTTTGTGTATTGAGGGTGGAACTGCTTTTGTATAAATTAAAATGAACTATCTGACAGTGGATTGTGAGGGGGACGGGGGTGTGTGAGGTTAAGACAAGGTTAGACCCAAGATGACAACAAGTTAAGGTAAAAGTTGTCATTTCTTTACGTTTTATTTTTAGTTTCTCTAAGCCAAATTGCTTTAGTGAGAGCAAAATCAGGCAACGGACAAATCAGCTCGGTAAATACAGGAATGCTGCTCAGCTCAAAGTGAATGTGTGAAAGTGTGTGTTACTCTTGGGCTGGCAATGTGTGTGAATGGCGAAATGATTAAATGACCGCTGCAGCAAAGTGGGTTAAATTGTGGTTAACCACATACAAGCTTAATACGCCGCACACATCAACTAATATGCACATTGAAATTACTAAATGTGTACACTTAACCATGTCCATCTCCCTTTCTCTTTCTTTCCCTGTCTCCCTCTCTCTCTGGCGCATAGGTGAACGATATGTGCCCGAAACCTTTGAATCGGGCTATAAAATAACAATGCGGCTGACCATCTATGACGTTGACATTTCGGACTTTGGAGCCTATCGCTGTGTAGCCAAGAACTCGCTGGGCGACACAGATGGTGCTATCAAATTGTATCGTAAGTATTTCAACAAAATCAACAACAATACCAATAACTAAACTCCAACTATGTACATTATTGTAAAAATAAACGTAAATTTGAGTGTAAGTGTAACTGCTGCACAGTTTCTAACAATGGCCATAAGTCAGACAGCCAGTCAGGCAATTAGGCTCGAACTACTTGGCCAACTGTAGCTTTTAATTAATTCAGATCCAGTGACTGAAGCCCAAAAACAATGTGCATATTAAATACCAAGACATTGGACACCCAAACTTTTCTACCCCTTGACACAGGTCGAATTGTTGATCCCTTGCTCTCTCCAGCCCCCGTGGGCGTGTGTGGGCATATTGTCAGTGATTGATTTACGAGCGAGCTGTGTAGCTGTGGCAAGGTCCCAGACTCGTACTCGCACTACTGCTTGAAGTAAATTTCAGTGTAAACTTTTTGGGTACATAATAAATACTAAGCTGATAATGATGGGATGTATATCTCTAATGGATGACCTGCAGATTAATCATTTATTTCTATAATGAGCAGCAAGAATTTTTGTTGTTTATTATTCGTTGGAACAAATCTTTGCAGGTTGACATGAAGGCCATCTGGGCACTAGAAACAATGCATTATGTGAAGAAGCAAAATTCAAATTTATATTTAGTCAGCTGTACACAATCTAATTGAAAAATAAATTAAGTGTGCATTGAATTCCCAGCCAGCAGTCCACAGCAGATGGCTGAATTAATATTATATAAAGATTTATGTTTATCTACAGCCTTTGATTAAACATACATTCGACTTCGATTCATTTAACAAACTATACAAATTTCATACACCTATCGATATTAATGCATAAATTTATTCATTCATTTATTTATTATACGCAGATATTCCACAAACAACAACAATTACAACAATGTCACCAACTGTATCGATCAATACCGTACCCGGTGTTATAGTCAAGTACAACAAAGGTAACTTTCAACAAAATAATTCTTGCTAAAAATATATCGCCAGGGCACACAATCGATAGCTTATTAAAATATATTTCGTTACTTATTTTAAAGTTTTTAAATAAAATATCAGACGTCAAACAGACACACTAATTGATAGTTATTTGGCACTACTTCAATGTACTCATTTTGTTAAACCCTTTCGATCCGCAGAGCAACGATACAGCAGCAACAGCAATTCGAATAGCAATAATCCATACAACTACAACAACCAGCAGGGCAACAACAAATCGCTGCGCAACAAGCCCAAGGCCTTGGATCAGACGCCCTCCACACTGAACAATGTTTATATGGGCGCCACGTCGAGCTTATGGAACTCACAGGATCACCACTCGCAGGCCAACTCGCGGGGCAGAGATCATCATCAGCAGCAGCAACAGCAGCATCAGCAGCAGCAGCATCTTGGTAAGTAAGGGGTGAAATTCCTAGGGGGAATCAGGTGGTATTAACAGGACGCAACTAAGTCCTTGACAACGGCAAGCTACTTCCCGCATCGATGGACACTTCAAGTTGTTTTCTATCCTGGGGCGCGTATTTTTATTGGCAGACTGTGTGTTATAGAGCTCATTCTCATGACACAGCAGCCTATAAATATTTGGCCATTTATTTTATGTTTATGACAAATCATAACGACTTTAGCCAAGCTTAAGGGCTCTGCCCTGCCGTCGACACTTGTTAGATACAGATACTTTCGCTCAACTCATGAACAAATATTTTCCTAAGACAGATGGCAGCCTTCTCTTTCTCTCGCTTCCTCTCTCTCTCTCTCTCTCTCTCTCTCTCTCTCTCGTTGTCTCTCACTCTCTCTCTCTTCCTATCTCTGTCAGTCTGTCTGCCTGTCGTTCTGGCCATGAAAATATGACTTTCTAGCATGCAATTCTGTATCCTGAGGCCAGAACTCTCATGGGGGCTGACCCATCCCTTACATATCCGCCCCCTCAGCCAACTCTATCGCATTGCTTGCCAGTGTATCCTGTGTAATGTGCTGCTAATGTGGCTCATCATAATGCACAATCATCATAAATAATAACGGTCGCAAATCTCGATGTTTGTTTTAAGCATATAATGTCCTTGAGGTGTCAACGTATCTACAAAACTAGTTAAGCTTGAGGTATCGTAAAAACATTTAAGTTTGCTATAGGGAAAGTTAATATACCCTATAATTTTATAAAATATTTTAATTAAACTTCACTTTAAATGTGGAAAATTAGAGCTTCCACTTTTTCAGCATACGCAACAATTTCAACAAAATCTTTCGTAGAACATAATTAAAACCTGTTTAATTTTAAAAATATATATATATATATATATATACTGAACTTTTCAATCTGCCATCGGAAAATGCTGGAAAATGCTCAGTTGCATTATGTAAAGTCAAAGTGTCGCCTCGTTGGTTAGTGACAGTGCCTGCCAATCAATGAATATAAAATTTTACACAGCTACCAATACCAAACTGGCAGTCCCCACTCCATTGTATGCTTACAATCAACGACAATATCCATATCCTGTTCGCGGGGGGTGTATGGTGTGCTGGGGGAGGTGTGGCAATGCATAAAACTTTAGAGGCGCCCTGCTGTACTGGCAAATTTCTGCATACGCGTTTGACTAAAATAAAATGCACTCGACAGAGCGCAAGTAGCAAAAGCACCGACAAAATCAAATCGAACAAATTGAATATGAGAGGACGAGTAAGAGATAGAAATGCTGTGGCATTTGTGGATGGGTATGTGGACAGGGAGTTGGAGTGGGAGTGGGGTGTTTGTAGCAGAATACCATAAAAATAGCAGACAAATTGCACACAAGGCGTCAAGGCGAAGGGCTAACCCAAACCCAAACCAAACCCAACCCAACCAAACCCAACCCAAGCCATACATATTCCACCAACCCAGCCCCAAAAATTGAGATGGGAAATGCTCTATCGTCTTGCTTTGCCTTTGGCTAGAACAGTTTTTGGCAAACGACAGCAGAAATGTTGCATTCTCGCTGGAGGCGAAGTGGTCTTCGCGACGGTGTGGCGCTGAGGGGAGGGGTGGCAAGATTGAGGGGCTGTTACGCCTCGTAATGGGAGAATGGTGCCTGCAATGACTACAACTTTCAAGCCTGGCATGCAATGTCGTAAGCGCTGCGTTTACAGTTAGATTTATTACCTGCTAGATGTTGCACATATCGCAGTACGGAGCGGGTGTGAAAGAGAGAGGAAGAGGAGGATGCAGCGAGACTGTCGTTGGGCGGGGAGGTGCGGTGAAGCAATAGCGGATAGATTGTGTATAGCAATGGTCGGGCGCTTATCGCTGCCGAGTTTTGCATATGTCGCGTCTGCTTTTTTGGGGCACTGCAACTTAGAAGGCGGAACAAGCGAACCAAGTTTCAACTTGGTTTCAAGCGACAGAATGGGGCAAGTGAATGTAGACAGAAAGAAGCGTGAGTAGCAAAAAGCGAATACATTATGAGGCTTCATTTTTGGTAGAATATATAAATTTGTATTATGCAAATTTCATTTTCAATTAGTTTTATGTAAATTTGGTTTTAAAATAAATTTTTAAGTGATTTTTACGGTGAATATAAGCTAATGTATAATTAAGCCATATTAAATAAAATAAAATTAAATTAAATTAAATATATCAATCCAAGTTATGTAATCAGTTAGTTCCTATTCAGATATGCCAAAGAAATGTAGAGAAATAAGGAAATAAGTGCAACATGTTGATGATTTCAAATCGAATTCAGAACCAAAATTCAATCAATGCTGTGCCACAATTTCATTTTAAATATTATTCAATTCGTAAGTTAAGCAAATTATGGACTTTTTGCAATTTCAAAAGTTAAGCTTACTTACAAAAATATATGTATGAAAATATATTGCCTTTGAAGTGCTGCAATTGCATTTGGTGTGCACTTCAAAAGTCATTAAATCATTGCAATCAACCACAAAAGCTGCTGTTCATTTGTAATTTGCACTGCCAACGGGCAACAATATGGCACAAATTACAAGAAGGGGATGTGCAATATCCGCCGGAAATGCGACTGGCTACTGGCTAGAAGCTGTCAACTTCCAACTTCATGATTATTGCAGCAGATTGCAATAATTTGCTTATAATTTGCCGCCTTCCTCACAGAAAATGGCAGACTGAACAATCATAAAGTCTGTGAAATGCAAGAGACAACTGCAATGGGGCGAGTGGCATCCAAAAGGTAGCCCATCAATTGAATATGGCATCGCGTGCTTGAATGCCAGTGAGTGTGCAACGATTTCTGCCACATGGCGTTAAATGCATTGCCACAAAAAAAAAAAAACAAAAACAATAAAAAATAGCGAAATGAAACGCATACGCCGTGTTCGCCACTCAACTGAGTCTCAAGTGCCGCCGACGGCTGCAAGCTTTTGCCAGCAGCTTTCTGTATTTCTGTATTTCTTTTTTTTTTTCTTGTTAAGTGCAACAGGCGCAACAATTGAGGTGTGAATCAGAGGAGGGCGAGGCGGCTATTTGCCGAATGGGTGTCAGTTTAAAGTGCGCTAATGGAGCGCGTCACTTCTGTTTCAAAGGAAACAGAAAGTATGAGGTTATTCCACCAATCGAAATCTCAATGAAAACAACAGTGTGCAAAATAAAAAAAAGGAGCAAAATACATAGAAAAACTGTATGACAAACTTAACACATTCAATAGGATTTTATTAGCTGACAGAATCAATAATATAAGCCAAGAAGGGTTGTATATTTATTTCTATTAGCCCAAGCTGATACAGTTTGGCACGATTGCACCCGAGGGCATGCATAGAATTATGCAGAAATTACTTAAACTTTAGTTTGAAGTAGTTGCCAGCCTATAAAAACGCTGTGTGATATAAAATGTTTGCCTTCAGCCCCACAGCGACGCGCTTCGTTTCGTTTTTCTTTATGGTTAAGCGCTTTAAAGACACCGCTGGGACTTTCTCAGACACTCACAAACACACACACACACACACACACACACACAAGCTCATAAACACATGCTCAAGCGTCAATAAAAATCAGCCAGACATTCACCCACACCAACACATACACTCACACACACACATGTACTCACACCCACCCAATGAGACAAGCACGGACATCGGAACAGTCAGGACGGAAGCAGGACAAACACGATGCCAGACCAGGGCAAAACTCCGTCCGAGTTGTTGTTGCTGTTGCTGGTATTTGTGCCTTTCACACATGGAAATGTTTGCAGACGCCAGCAAAACAATCCAGTCAAGGGTTGATGGTGGGGGCTGGGCAGCTGTATAGGAAAAGCTGCTTATAGAAAAATAAAAGCCAAAAGATATACAAATAAATTTTCGACCCGGTGCAAAGCAATTTGCGCATTTCCGTTATAAAAATAAAAGGGTTTCTCGTTAAGAACAAAACGAACCAAACTCCGTTTAGCAACTGCCAAATATCTAAAACAAAACAAAAAAAAAAAGACAAATAAATAAATAAAAGCCATATTTTTTACAGTTATGACAAACTTAGTTCAATTTAATGAAGTCCGACTCGCAGACAAATCCAGTCTGTCTACTTATGGCCTATGAGTGGAGCATATTCGAGCAATAAACTTGGGATTAAAGACCCATCTCCATCTCTGTATTTTATTTCAAATTTTGAAGTGCTTTCAAAGTCGTCTCATTTTTAATGAATTCGGAACTAAATTGTTTGTTTTTATGGATCTACTTTCAATATCATCGCACTATAACAAATTGAACTAATAAATTATTATTGTAATATTATGTTTTTAGTTCAATTTTTGGTTCAAATTGAATCGCTTTCTCCCGTAAAAATAAATATAACTCAATTGCAAGTAAATAATTCCATCCATTCATATTTGAAGTCACATTTCCCTTAATTTATTCAATTTATAACCGTGTTTTAAACAGATTTCAAATCTGTTCCTCTCATGATTCAGTTAAAATTTTTTTTTCTCTTAAATTGTTCTCTACATTGACTTTTATTCACTCAACAATTTCACACCAAGTTGCACCCGTTTTAAACTGCCACTGAATGCCACAGCTGCTGCACTACACGCCACTTGCGGAGCACAGCAACCGCATCGCTCCAAACAGTGTGCCTAATGACCAATTGCTGCCTACAGCAAGCCGATCAAAAAAAAATTCAAGAATCCACTGCCATTTTCCTGCCGCTGGCCGCTGGCCCCTGGCCGACTTGCCACCAACAGCAGCAACGTCAACCCGCTACATTTGTAAATGCAACACACAAACAAATGCGCAATGAAACAGATTGTTGGTAAAAAAACAAACAAGCAAGCATAAAATAAAAACAGAAGTGTAAAACAAGAACGAAAAGGCAAACAAAACAGAAAGAAAAAACAAAAATACAGAACTGTAAAGAAAAAATAAAGGCTGCAGGATAAATTGATGGCAAAAGCAATACGGAGCGTCCCCAGTCCTGTGGCACCCACCAAAGCCCGTGGGAATTCGATTTATTTTTGTATGTTTTGTTGTTGTTGGTGGAGTGCATGTCCTGGCGCAAGGGTTTAACGCACTTAAGCAATAAAAATCGAAACAATTTTCGATGGTGCCAAGTGAAATTGAAACAAAACGCCAACAGAGGAGCAAATACTTTCGATTTTGGCCAAAATGGTAAATGGTAAACTGTATAAGTGAGAATGTTATAAATAAGTCGAGCAGTCGAGAACACACTCAAAGTTGTGTCCTTTTATATGCAATCCGTTTTCTACTTGCCCGGTTGACAAACAGTTTGGGTTTCTCTGTCGTTTCGTGTCCTGTCTCCTGTGTCCTGTGCCCTGCATCCTCTCTGTGCTGAGTGCTATTTCTTTGTCCTTTTGTGTGTGTGTGTCAGTGTGTGGGTGTGTGGGTGTACTTTTGCCCTTTCGTATTGGCACTGGCTACAAATGACTGGCCATAAACGCATCCTGTCTATTGTTTATGCTCGTTGGCGTGTGGCAAGCGCATAATTGAAAAAGGACATTCGATTGGCAGCCCAACTGCCGGCAATATGGCGGCTAGAGTTATGAAAAGGACACATCATAAAAGCCATTCACGTAATATAAAGAAATACGGCAATTGATTAAGTAACTCAACTTGTGCACACAATAATATCAAACTATATCTGCTATCAGTCTGAATTGTTTTCTCAATCAATCGAAATGTTTATCTCTTCTCTCTCTCTCTCTCTCTCTCTCGTTGCAGTGCCTGATCACAGTGCCACGTACCGTGGGGATGGGAAGAACACGCCACTCAAACACGACGCCAAATCGCTAACCGATGAAATGGATCGCATGCAGGACCTCAAGAGCCGGGGCATGCCTCTCAGCAGCAGCAGCAGCACATGCCCCCAACTGTTGGCCGTCGTTGCCCATGTCGTTGTCTATCTGGGTGTGCGGAATGCCTAGTTGCAAAACAGACTTTAAATGCAATTTGTACAAAATATAAAAATTGAGAAAAATACAAAAAAACCAAAGTTCGTAATCGTAAGCAAATAGTTTTGTAAGCAATAATTTCTCACACATCGATTTCGCCCCCGATTAAATGCTAGTTGATATTATTGTTTAGCGCTTAGCTCGATTGAAATAATGTACGTGTAAAAAGTTGTTGTTGTTTAGCGAGTAAGTTGAAAAGGTTATTCTGAATTTGACAGCATCTAAAAGAGAGACAGATACTTACATCGGAAATACAAAGTATTAGCATGTAAAACTGAAGCGAATCGCACATGGGGTGAGCAGATAATGTACTACAACTTAACTTACACCTACATCTAAATCTAAATCTAGGTTTAAATCAAGTGGTCAGCCAGCGCAACCCAAAATGTCAATGAAATGTTGCTAAATCCCTTTTACTTTAGGCTCATTTTAAGCTTCTTTTTTGTGCACCGCAACATGTTTATAAATATATATACATATATATATATATATATATATATATATATGTATCCATGAATATATTGTAATTTTAATTTTAATAAGAATTGAAATAAAAATGCCGTCTTAAATCATTTAAACTACGAATTTTGCTTATTCAACTTGTTCCACAGATTCTTCCAAATGCCCAACAGCGGATTGTTGTCAACTCCTTAAAGGTTTTTTCTTTAAATATTTTTGGAGTTATCTGAAGTACGCTCAGCTTGTCAGCCAATTAATCAAAGTCACAACTTCAATAACGTTAACAAAACATCTCAAAATGCATATTGCCAAAAAAATTAATATCATCAGCAAAAAAATCGAAAAAAAAGAACTTTAAAAAGCATATAAATCAATATTTATGTCATTCACCTACCGCATCGAGACTGTTTTTGAATGTTCTTTTTTAGAAAGGGCCGCAAGCGGGGCAAAAAATTGCATTGAACCACAAATTGGAGTCCTTGGCCCGCTAGCCGTTTGTTTACTTTTTTTACATAAATATTTTATACCATCGACCCACATGGCGGAATTTTTCATTATGAAGTCAGCGCCAAGCAAAAAATGAGTAACGCTAGCAGTTTATAATTTAATTTCAAAAGTGCAGCGCAACTATAAAAATACGCGGCGAAAAAAAATAAATGCATAATTATTAAAATAAATTAAATGTCTGCTGTTGCCCTCATAAGTTGCACGAGCGGCCAATTAAAAGCAGGTCCAACTTGGATGCCCTTTTTTTTGGTCAAGAGTGTAACACACAATCCACAGGCGAAATAACCCTCAACAGTCCTTTAAGGACTGCATAAATGAAAAGTAACTTCAACTATTTGAAAGAAACAACAACTTCTTTATGGTCGGCGAAAAAACAGCGACAACTAAAATGAGCGGCGTTTAAGGGAAAACTTTAATGCTCTTTTACCTATCTTATATTATGAAACTGGCTTCATAACGAAAGCATGTGAAAAAATGGTTTGTCAAATTTAAATTTGTTTTCCGCTGGTTTCAGGTCAAGGATTCTTATATTTTTTTTATTTACTCCTTTTGAATTCCGTCGGAACGCTTTTACACAAACACTAGCACAATTTTCTAGCCAGATTTGAAGTCTGTAAGAACATTCAAAGCACTCGAAACTCTATTCTATAAAATATCCAACCTTGAACACTCATTGATAATACTCATTTACAAATAATTAACTAATATTCAACTGCGAAAACTTGTAGATTTTTACTTAACACCCTTAAGGAACATGCCACACAGGAGAGTTGTTTGCCTACACTGGAAAAAATATACGAATATACAAGACAGTCAGGATAAGAAAAGAAACTAAAGAAACGAGAAATTCAAAATATTCAGTTATTTCTTACTTTTATTTCGAAATATCTTCGAAAGGTTAAAAACACATTCGTCAGGTTGGAAAAAATAGCTGAAACGCTAACTATCATCCCATGTTGCACTGTGTATTGTTGTTACCACATGCACCCCACCACTAAGGTAATACGCCCCCGTTTCCCACAGCAGCGGCTCGGACCATAAAAATTGCTACCACGGCAATTTGGTTGCATTTTTACACACGCTGCGACGTAAATGGCAAAAAATTGGCATGTGTCGAGCTATGCAGCCGGTCACTTGGCCTGCCCCCTGCCCCCCTGCACTCTGCCCCATTCGCTTTCGCCCAGTCAAAGTTCACACAAAAGGCGAGTTAATAAAGCTAACAGAGCCGCATGTGCGGCATGTGTCCCCAGAATGGAGTGCAAAATCCACTGTACCTAACCAGACCACAGCAAAAGCCGCACACACACACACACACACACACACGCACACACACATACACGCACACACACTCTGGTTAACAAAAAACAAAGCAGCTTTTTGATCAGCTCAGCAAAGTAGACTTCACTTTTTGCTAACTTCATTTATCCCTTTTGGCAGCCAAAACACGCAAACTTATTAACAATTTGTTGTTTCCGTAACAAGTGTGCTTATATTAATTAATCGTATATTTAATAAAGTCAATTTGTAATTGAGTTCTGGTCGTTGATCAGTTTAATGTTGTGCAACCGTAATTATTATTTTAATTAACTGTGTGACGGGCCTGTTAATTTGTTGCACTTGTTGGCTGTGACAGATTGCGTGAACAAAAGATTCGTTTCAGTTTCAGTGTCAGATTATTTAATTATAGTTTCACATCGGTTTTTGTGCGTCAAATGTTCTCCAGCAATATTCAATAATATTTGTCTGATCATTATTTTTAACGTATATGCTGCAAATTACCCCAATCCCCACTCAGGTTGAGCATGTGAAAAGATTCCGTACATAATCTAATGCATACTTTATTGTTCCCTTAACGTTTCACAATAAAGAAGTTATGATATACTTGGTTCACCACGGAAGTGATGTGGTGAGATTTAAAATGTGTTGCAGTCTGTAAAAATAGCTAAGAGCTTTCAGCAAAAGCTGAACTTAACGAAAACTCATCTGTCGAAGCAGTCGAGACAACAACCAAAAAAGCTTTCGCAGCACAAAGCTTTTCTCACACTGTTAAGACCAGTAAACAGTCAATGAAACTGTTAAGTCAACTGTTAGAAGAATATCATTCTGATAAATTTAACAGACCGAATTTCTTTGTATTTTCGTAAAGTTTTTTGAACATTCTCATCTTACAACAAGGTTAATATTGTTGGTCTAGTCTGACTTCATCCGAATCAGAAACAGTAAAAATACCAATGTAAGCAAAGTTTAATTTACCATCTTCAAAACTATCTAAATGTTGGGAATAGCGTTTCTTTCGACTAAAAGACAGACACAGATTGTAAACAATTTAGAATTTATTTTTCTGATTAAACATTCTGTGAGTCAGACATTTTACTATGTAGGTTACTACTCACTTTCGCTTGCGCGAAACGGACAAATATTATTATATGCTGATAAGTTGAAAGTTACAAGTCATTCAGCATCCAGCTCTTATCACGGCTAACAAGCCATGGATGTAATTAGCTGCCTCCGAATGACCAAAAGACAAAGTTCAAATTGTCAAAAGTGTAAGATGTGTAAGAGAAAATGTTTGAATAGTTTCGATACAATTTTTAATTGAACTAACTTGCTTTAAGATACATAAATCAATTCGAGTCTGCGCCGTTTAGTTCATCATAACTTTTGCAGAATCTTTGCAGTTGGAGTTGATGTTGATGGAAACTAGAACGAGCATAATGAAGATTAAATACACTAGCATTTAAAAATAATTATAATAATAATAATGTTATCCAATAAAAAGCAAATATATACATATAATAATGATTAGTATATATATTCATAATAAATGTATTGCTGGGAGATTGCCGAAAGTTTTCCAAAAAATTGATCACTTTTTGCTACAAGAATAAACAGAAAGTTTTTCATGAATAAACTGGATCACAGCCAATCATTTGCATATAATATATATTACTTTATACTTTAAACTAGCCGATCTTTATTTGTAAATGGACATACTTTCTGCCAGGGCATAAATAGCTTCGTCATTTAGTCAAGCAAATGATAAAAACTGCTCTGAAAGTGAGAGAGTCGAGAGTCTAGAGTCTGATTCTTATCAGTGCGTATACAATATGTATACATATACATATATGTATATATATAGCCAAGATACTCAGTCAGTCTGTCAGTCGTTCAGCTACTCGCCAGCAACTGCTGTTTCCCTTTCGCTTTCGCTTTAGATTTCAGTTGAAGTTTTAGTTTTTCTTTTCTGACGCTGCTCAAGGATGGGTTTCTTGATCTTGGTGTTGACCTCGCTGCTCACTTTTGTGCTGGGCTATTTGAGGCACTGCTACAATTATTGGGAGTTGCAGGGCGTGCCACAGTTGCGTCCGCACTTCATCTATGGCCACTTCTTCAAGCTGAAGTCGCTGCACCTTAGTGAACTGCTGCAGGAGACCTACGATGCCTTCAAGGGCAAAGCACGCTTGGCTGGCACTTATCTATTCACACGACCGATTGCCGTCGTCACAGATCTGGATCTGGCCAAGGTCATACTGATCAAGGACTTTAATAAGTTCGTGGATCGGTCGAGTTCAGCGTCGCTAAATCTACAGGACAATCCACTGGCGGGGCATCTCTTCAATCTGCACGGCGAGGAGTGGCGAGCACTGAGAACGAAACTGTCGCCAACATTTACCAGTGGCAAAATCAAGTACATGTTTAGCACAATCACTGAAGTGGCAGATCAACTGCAGCAAACCTTTGACCAGGAGGTGGGCGATGATGGTGCCGTTCTGGAGCTGCACGATCTGCTGGGTCGCTACACCATCGATGTCATCGGCAGTTGTGCCTTTGGCGTGAAGTGCAACAGCCTCAAGAATCCGCAGGCCGAGTTTCGAGTGGTGGGTCGAAAACTGTTCAACAATCCCAAATTCAATGTGCGCTGGGCTCTCTTCAGGATGACCTACGCGAATCTGTTCCGCAAACTGCCAATTAAGTTCAAATCCTTCGGCCAGGAGCATACCAAATTCTTTCTACGCCTCGTCCAGGACACAGTTGATCTGCGCGAACGCGAGAATATTAAACGAAATGATTTCATGGACCTATTGTTGAATTTGCGCAAAACTGGTGAAAGCAGCGGCTTATCGGTGGAGCAGCTGGCTGCCCAAGTCTTTGTCTTCTTCGTTGCCGGCTTCGAGACGAGCTCCAGCAACATGAGCTGGGCCCTCTTCGAGCTGACCAAAAACCAATCCATCCAGGCCAAGCTCAGAGATGAAATCCTAAGTGTGCTGCAAAAACATGGTAAACTAACCTACGAGGCTATGATGGAGATGACGTACTTGGATCAGGTCGTCAATGGTAAGTGCTTTGATTACTATTACAAAATAGATAAGCTTGCTTGCTGTGCGTAGTCTGATCGCAGATTAGATAAAACCATACAGAAGATATCTTTTCACTTTTGGGCAACATTTTATTCAGTTGACGAACTCTTTGACTCAGTACAAAATTCTAGCTGCAACGTCAGATTTTATAGATAGACAGAACAGATAAAATAATAGCATTAATTCTACTCAAGTGAGTCAAGCAAGATAATTTATAAAATATTAGATAAAGGTAAGCCTTCGCAGCTATATAGTTACGGCCTTATCTGAATGCATTTTGTATCTTCACAAAATGTATCTGACAAAAAGAAAAAGTTTTTCTAATGTCAAATATTTCCTCATAGTAAATTATATTTTCCTTTATGGCAACTGCTCTATTTATCGCGAAGAACTGTTCCGCATCTAAACTTCACCCAAATATGTGATCTGTGATCAATCTTTGCAGAGACTCTTCGCAAGTATCCGGCACTGGCATCGCTGACTCGCATTCCCGCCGAGGATTACAAGTTGCCCAGTGATGATGAGAGTAACTCAGATGGCCACATAGTGCTGGAGCGTGGTATTAAGGTGCATATTCCAGTGCGTGCCATACACTATGATCCCGAGATCTATCCGGAACCACACGAATTCCGGCCGGAGCGCTTTGAGCCGGCGGCCACCCAGCAGCGGCATCCGTTGGCATTCCTCGGCTTTGGCGATGGGCCGCGCAACTGCATCGGTCTGCGCTTCGGACGGATGCAGGTGAAAGTGGGTCTCATCACGCTGCTCGCCGCCTTCCAGTTTAGCCAGAAGGGTTCCGAAATTCCGATCGTTACCAATTCGCATTTCGTGCTGGTGCCCAAAAACGGTGTCAAGATTCGTGTGGATCGACTACCGGCTGATTGGTGGTCAGATTACAAGTCTCGACAAGTGTAAATAATAGAAATTCAATAAAATCGCTGCATAAACAAATTCTGCTTGGAACTGAAACTGAAACTGAAACGGAGACTGAGACTGAAAACTGGCGTCGTCGTTTTGTGAAACATCAGCAGAAAATGCAATTAAATTGATGCCGTTTGGCGGTCGCCTGAAAGACAAACCCCAAATTTATGAACACCACTGATTCACCATCAGCCGTCATCTCATCAGCGTCCGCGTCAGCCTCAGCCTCAGTCCAGGTTTGGGTTCAGTTCCAGCCAAGCCAACCGACACCAAACAACTCTCGGCTACTAAATCATACAAATGATGCATATGCTCAGCTGGAGAGCAGAGGGGGGACTGAGTTCATTATGATTGGGCCACCCAGTAGGAAGAAGCCACAAATGGTGGTGGTTCTTATCTCTTCCAATGTTGCACTGATTTCCCGTTCGACAGATGCACCTTTTTCCAACTGATTACTAAGCAAACATGCCAAGATATAGTCAAAGATCCATGCAATATTTAATTATTTTATAATTTAACCAGATGGCAGATTTTCCACTTAGCGGCTTAAAAAACATATTGCAAAAATAGGTATTTGATTTTCCTTTTACATTTTCCAAGAATGATAATCGAACTTCGAAAAATTCCGTCCAAGTGATGAGTTAAAAAGAACTGTGAAAAACTAATCAGTTTAAATAATTTCACATCTGCGGCAAATTTAAGAACTTCAGCCTCAAATTCAAGATGTGTGTGGTATGTGAAATTGGAATTGCGGTGACAGCTAAACAAGTTTGTTGGATTTGTGGCATTGCTGCTAAGCTGATTTGGTCAGAGCCATTGTTCAACCAGATCGATGTCAAACTTCACTGGTAATACTCTTTGAATATTGAATATCTGCACAATTTTCCTACCGGACACAGAAACAGCTACTGCACCACACTTGATGTACTCTTCCCACCCGAAACCTGACTCCAAGTGTGTGTGTGTGTGTGTTGCTCACATAAATCCAAACATTTACAATATTTTGCTAATTAGCAGAATTTGAGTGAATAATGAATGCACTTGCTGTGACCCAACTCAAGAGTGAGTGTATGAGGCAGGTGGTGGCAGGGGGCAGGCGGCAGGGGGCGTGGCAATACCTTGCATCTCTTGTTGGTGTCATATTAAATTAATGGGCGGCCAAAACAGCCGACAAATCCAGGATGCCTGGCAACTTGCACATTTGGTGATTTCAGCGATTGATTATCGAAACAGGCAAAGTTGGCGATTCTGTGTGTGTGGAGAGTGTGTGTGTGTGGAGGGGGAGTGCTGCAAGCGAATATTGATGCAAGACTGCTAAGGCTACTGTTGCACATTGGCAGCAAGAGCTGAAATAATGTACCTGACATTAATCAATAGCAGGCAAACTTAAAGCAGAGCAGAGAGAGAAATTTCTGTCGTCAGTTTGTTGCACAAACAGTCAGGTAACAATAAGGGCAGCAGTTTGGCATTGCAACTCGATATATGGATGGATATAATTAAGCAAGAATATCAATATTTCTACTGAATTACGAAATTGACTCAAATGTCACTAATAATATAATTCAGGCGATGTTTCAATCAACTGTCAGTTGTACTAATTGGCACTGCTGGGATAAACCCGCTTTTATAAAGCACACAAGGATTAGTTAGTTATGTGTGTAATTATACACAATTAAAGTATATCGTTGATTGTATTTGAATTAAAATTTAGATACTTACAACTATATATAATTCCATAATATGCAATTTATTTATTTATTGATCTTATTTGAATCTGTTGCTCACTTTAAAAATGTTATGCTCATTGTTCACTTTTAACTTTATTATTATGAATATTATTCTTATTTACTTTGATTTATTTGGTGTATTTGAACATTTAACGTAGCATGTTTTTCAAAAATCGACATATATTTTTAAATACTTTGCGCCACATTCGCACTGAGTACAATAATGAACGATAAACAAATCGCATTGCAAAACGGATGAATTTCAACAATTTGACAATTGACTGCAGAGCCAAACAAAACAAAATGAAAAGTGCCAAAAAAATGTCCATTTTAAGTGCAGAGCCGACGACGACTTTTCAATGCGATCTGACAAAATCAACTGAGCCAAGCTCAGCAGCAGCTCAACTTTAAGTAAGTTGCAGGCAGCTTATTGAGTACAAATGCGTATGCGAAACAGATGAGACCAGCAAATAGGACAGCCAATAAGACTCTGATCAGAGAGAAAGAGAGAGAGAGAGAGAGAGAGAGAGAGAGGGAGAGAGAGAGAGAGCTGCGATCGACTGGAATTGTAGTTTGCAATATTTATAGGGCAGCAACTGGGCTATGTTTATGTGCTTCAAATAATTGAATTTTAACAACAACAAAAATAAATATAATAAAAATAAATATAATAAAAAATAAAAAGAAAAGTGTTTTCATATTCGGTGTAAGATACGAATCAATCAATCATTTTCAATATATTTTAATTTTAATTTGCAAACTTAAACAATTTTTGGGCAGCCACAGTGAAAAAAGAAACAAAAACAAACTGACAGCGTTACGTTAAGTCGACACACACACACACACCACACACACACACACACACACACACACACACACACACACACACACACACACACCACACACACACACACACCAAGTGTGTGGCGCTTTTCAATAACGGTATCAGGCAGTATCAGGCACCAGTTTTGCTTGAGTTAAAGTTGAAGCAGTTGCCTCAATTCGCCCCCCATTTGCCAACTTAATTGCACACCATATATCAGTTTTGGTTCCTTCGGGCTCACACTTTTCCAGCGGGCGGCTAATCACCACGTCAGACCCCACCCCCACCTCGCTTACCGACCGCTCAGGCAATGAATAGGCTATCATTTTCACACAACACACGCACACGACCAATAAATAATAGAAAACAAAAACAACAGCGAATATTAAAAACAATCAAAAACAAAAGAAAAAAAATGTCTGCAGCATAAAAATGATTGTTATGAAGCGAAAACGTGGAAAAGGATATCCGCGTCGCCGCCGTAGTCATCGTCCTGGTTCCTGGCTTCTGGTTGATGGTTCTCTGGCTGGCTCCTTCATTTTTGCATTGCGTGCCAATGCACTTGCGCCACAAATCATTTTCGTCCTGGGCAAAGGGTTAGCTTGGCTGAAGGCTCGCAGGACTGCGAAACTTGTTTTCAAGTTTCTTTCGCTTCCTTGGCAACTTTTTTGTGTTGCTTACTTTTTTTCTTTTTTTTTGTTGTTTTTCGGGTAGACTAATATAAATTTTGACACCTGATAATTGCTTTGCACTCGCTTCCGCGTTTTGTGTGCTGGATGCGACGACGACGAGGACAGCTGCAGCAACTATTCACCCTCTTCCCTCCCCCTCATATTTAGTGTCTGCCATCTTCCCCTGCCGCAGCTTGTAATTGTGAATGAACATGCAAAGTTTTGCCGCCTGATCAGAAATGTGTGCAGGATAGTTGCCTGTTAAGGATAGTTGCTTTCTGGGGGTTCTAGTTCTGGGCTCCAATAAATCATGGCTACATTTTTGGTTTTTGCAGTTTAACGTTGCAGGGCGTTTAATAGGCAAAGTTATTGTGAATTATAGGCGCAACCTTGATGGCATTTAACCCATAAAAGTGGAAATTGGCAATTAAAAGTGCATAAAACACGATAATTATATCAAACGCTGTCAGCTTAGCGAAATATGAGTAACTCCTATTAACAGAATTGAAATGTCCTCATATGGCAACAAGGCAATTGAGAAACTAAATCGTTTCAAACAATGCTCACCTAGAAGATACCCAGTACAATGATGCATCTGCCTTAATAGGGAGATTGACAAATTGTATATATAAACATATTTTAAATGAAGCAGACTAAACTACTGTAGAAATTATGCAGCTAAAAAATATAAAGAATTATGCTTAAGAAATATTTTGCAATAAAAATAAAGTAAACAATACAAAAAACAAAATCAAAAATTTCCCATTGTAATTAACGGATGCCATATTTTAAAAATAAAAATTAAACAAAGTATATACAAATATTTATATTATATTTATATATATATTTACATATATTAATTACGGCGGCGCAGGAATTGTAAAATATATGCAAAGTTTATTATATTTAAAAGATTCTGGCTGTATTTGTTGGCCAATAAGTTTGTAATCATTTTTAAAATTAGAAATTCATGAATGTCGAGGGATTATAATGACTAATCCACATAAATACAAATGTATTTATTAGCGTACAATAAGTAAAAGGGTTCTTTTTTTTATCACGTATGCAACTATTTGTACCAACTGTTTTACAAGGCAATGCCATGACCAATGACAATCAATTTGCGCTTAGCACGCACTCGCCCACAACAACCACAACAACAAGAACAAAAACAAAGAGAACGACAATATAAAATAACAACACACAGAACACATGAGCTGCAAGCGTTTTGCAGACAAAATTCATTCATAAATTCACAAATGGCGCGCTCCGAAAAGTATGCAGAGCAAATTTCCCACAATGAGCGACGTTCGTTCAATCGAAAAGCGCGTTCAACAAGCGCTCCACTTGGGCATTCAACTGTGGTGAATTTCAGCAGCCACCCCTTATTGGGTAATGCGCCAACACAGTCTTACACACTCTCACACTCTGGCACTCTCACACACTCGCACGCACACACACCGTCGTGCTGCAAATAAACCAAAAGTTAGAAAAAAAAACAAAGTGAAACAAGCGCCCACCAACAAAAAGCCAAATAAAATGTAGCCAGCAACAACAAAAATCACAGTTGTCTGATTCGTTCGCGACGCAACTGCCACCGGTAAAGACCACCCAAAGCCACCCATCTACTCACCCGACCACAACAACAACTACGACGACAACGACGACGACGACTACGATGAAAACGATGACGATTTGCTGTGGAACATTCACATGTCTTCGGCTCGGAAGCGCTGCTTCGTGCTTCATTCGCTGCGGTCGCCAATTTCAGTCTGACGACAACGTTCGTGGCGAGCGGTTGTGTTTGTTTGCAGTGCGTTCTCTGAAAGTCGAAATAAAACTCGAGTGCTGCATGTTCTCCAAACTGTTGCTGACCCAAAACAAATCTCAAATCATACTCAATAAACCAAAGACCTAACTAATAAAACGCTTCAAAATCTAACAAATCACTAGAGCAACTACTATTCAAATGTAACTATCAACAAGTTGCAAGAATAACAACAACAGCAACAAGATTACGATCAACAAGCTCGAAATCAAAGCACGCTAATCTCAAGCGACTCGCTCGCTGTTTTTCAAGCGCTCATCAGCAGAAAACGCGCGCGTTTTTCACCGCGTGCTGGCAACTTAACTTAGCAAGCGAGTTCCAAATGCGTGTTTACCGTAATTATATTTAAAACAAAGTACCTACAAAAAAAAAAAACGAACAAAAATAAAAAATAAAAAAAGAAGCTAAACTTAAGCCCTGTTATTAATACGAGTACTCACAGACACACCCTCCCCATGCCCCCCCTAAAACACAACACAACACACACACACCCCAAAATGATAGCGGAGTGTGGCCGTCAACGGTCAACGGGCAACAGTCAACGGTCAACGGTGAATAATCGCAGTCGACGTTGGGACGCGTGTTTCTGATGTATTCGCGTTCGCATATGAATTATAGAAATTTGCCTCTGAATGTGTCTGGCTCTGTTTTATATTGCCCCACACTTGGTTGGTCGTTGCATAGTTGGAGGCGGCGTGCACAATTGCAATTGCATATTTCATGCTGCTGCAATTTAAAGTTCATTGATATCCATAAACAGCACTCGCTAACGAAGCCGCCGATTACACACACACACACATAGACAAATACATCTACTTATGCACGTATGTAAATCGCCTGGCACATTATTACTACATATATTTTATTTGCAAATATGTTGGCCATAGACTGATAGATATTTGTTTGGGCCAACAACAACAATGGCAGGTTACCAACTTTTGGACATTTGGGAGCACATGTTTTTGGCCTCTGCCATTTTCATTTCATTTGCATTTTACATAAAACTTTGTCTGCCTTTGTTGTTGTTATTGTTATTGTTTTTGTTTTTGTTGTTGTCGTTGCCAGAGTTGATTGCGATCGCATTTGTTTTACTGTTTTCGGGAAAGGGGTGGCTGGCTGTGTTGCATGTCACTTGGCAGGCCAAATGCGATTTAAAATAATCGAATCGTTCAGAACACCATGAACAATGAATGCATAATTCTATTATAAATGCAAACATTTTTTTTATTTTATTTTTTTTTTATTATTGCTGTTTTTGTCGATGTGGTTTGTTTGGCAAGATAAAATGACTTCATTTGAGCGTAGAGCAAACATGTATTCCAATACAATATCAAGTCGACAACTGTTGACTTAAAAAGTGGCTAGGTCGAAAGTACTTTCATTGAGTTAAGTAAATATTAGCCAGCCAAAGTAGATAAACTCTACGAAATATTCAATTCAGTTATTTTGGATGCGTGCGGCGAGCATTTTCCAAAGATTTCCGTTTCTCTTACAGCTTAAAAATAATCAACAATATTAATTTATCTGAGGACGTAACTGAAACACACATATTCCATTTAAAAGCATACAAATATTAGTTATAGGGTTTCATTTAGGCTCTTTGTATAACCGAACACAATTAAAATCATTTCCTAACATTTTTTCTGTTACTTTTAATAAAATTTTAGAAAAACATTTCTTAATTTCATAGACATTTTGAGACTAGAAAATTCTTTATAATTACCAGAAAAAAAAATAAAAAATTATGATTTGATATTTCTTATGTATCCTTGCAAGAGTCTCATCATTTGTTTACACAGACACAACACATATTAAGTAGATGCAACTGAACACAATGCATTTCAATGGAAAATGACGCTGGGTCAATTTCAGTCCGAATCCGAATCCAAGTAGCAGCATTGAAATGAGAATTTTTCGCCACGTATTTTGATATGCCCCATCCCGTGGCACTCATCACTCTCCGCTCTTTGACATGATGAAGCAAAATTGCATACCACCCTTTGCAATTGCCACACAGTCGATCTTGGCCACTTGGCATATTATTCCCGGGCAATTGTTGCTGTTGTTGTTGCCGTTGTTAATAACAAGCGATAATAATCAACTTCCGTGCTGGAGGCGCTCGTGTTCGTGGATTGGCGCGGGGAGCTGGGGTATGTGTAAAAAGCTGAGCAAAACTTTGCATACCAGAAGGCGCCGCCAAGCAGTGGATTATTTTTTGATACATACATTTTGATATATACCATTATGGTAATTTCCAGTTTGTATGCACGTCTAAAATAGACCAAAACAAAGAGAAATAATTTCTGAAAAATGTCGAAGTTACATCGCGATAAGTACGAAATATATCACGTGCTAATTTATGTTTTGTGTTGTTGCAAATTGAAAATGTTTTCCCAGCAAATGAGTCTGTCGAGTTTGTGCAGCATCTGCAGCACTTTTGTCTAATACTGCATAACCTCAGGCCTTTTGACCTTGTGTATGGTTTCTACACTGGACATCAGGATACCGGGGGATTGGATGATAAGCACCAGAGGAGAATGAGCCACTTTGTGTGTTCCTCTTATGTTTTTGGCAACACACACCCACACACACACAATTTGCACATAATTCAACAGCTGATTATACAAATTGTGCGGCATACTTGGGGGCAATAGCTCGCTGCTGAAGTGGCCCTCGACTTTGCATGTCCGAAACGATAAACATAAACATAATATACGATTATTTTCATTCCTCGCCGCTGCGACATACAAAATTCCATGAGTAGCCCTTATTATGAGCCATAAATTTTGGCCCGGAATCAGGCGCAAACATTTTTTTTTTTTTTCTGGGAATAGAGTTGAATGATTTTACGACTTTGAATATTTTGAAATCCGTCCGATCATGCAAATCAAATAGGAAATAATTGTTTCTTGATTGTGTGCAGTAATCAAAATATTTAGTCAGATTAATATTATTTTCCTATTTGTTTCTCTTTTAGTAAAATGTTAGTAAAATTATCAGAATATCTGTATCTATTTTCAAAAATACCTTTTCAATGTATACCTTAACTAATTTAATAATAATTTAATTCACAAAGTGAATTGATTAATAGGAAGTGGAAAGGTGACATCTGCTTAAATTTTCTGGGTCGGCTTCAATCATGTCAATATTTGCACTTCTATGCGGGTCAATGATAAACAATTTCCGTGGCATTCTTAGTTTCAGGTGATAGTTAATACATCGAATAACTATTGAAACATCAAATTTAGTATTGAGGTGCTGAAATTCAAATTGAATTCGAGCAGTTAGATCGATAATCATAAGATGATTATTCCAGGCTATTCAAATTCACCTAATACTTATTTTCATAGCAGTTACGTAGCTGTTTGCATGCAGACATGAATAACTTTAAATGGGAATTAAATTTTAGTTGGTGGCGGCCGCAACTGACAGAAACAATTTTAAAATGACATTTCATTAAAATTGTTTGTTGCTTTGTTTTTACTTGGATTTTGTATTGATTTTTACGTGGCTCACTGCAATTGAAAGCAAAGTTTTCAGCTGCCGGCTCCTATGTGTCCTTTGTTCACGTTGCCCCAATCTGAGGTCGTGTCAGCTGCCCTGTAAACCCAGTCGACTCCAACACAAGGCAACAAGGCAACAGGGCAACACCCAACCGGCACGAGACTACACTAAAAATGTCTAGTAAAGAGGCATAGCAATATTATTAATAATTTAGAGCATGCGGGCCATGTCAGTTTAGATGGCTACGACAGACAGCCAGACAGACAGACAGAAGGAAGGACGGACAGACACCCGCCTAGCTTATAACTATTACCTGGAAGTATTGGCCATCGGCAGGCATACAGATATGCAAATCTGATTTGCCTACTGAAGCCGTAGCAAGTTTTTTGTTTTTAGAGGCGACACCACTCGTCTGCTTGTGCAGCTAATTGATGTAAGTCTTTATTATTTGTTTGTGTGTGCAACTACTGGATAATAACGTTATTTGTTATTGAAGCCAACACAATTTGAATAACCCTCTAGGATTATTACAATTATTTTTATTGTTATTATTACAAATATTGTTATTATTATTTATTATAAATTATATTTACATTTAGGTCTTTTAAATGGGTGAGGATCTAAAGAACCCTGGCAAATTTGACAAAATGTTTTCAATGTTTTCTTACTAATTTTGTCTAAGAATGTGAAGTCTTTATTCAATGCAAATTATAAATATGCGAGGAATAATTCTTGATGTTTTTTTTACCACTTATATCTTAAATTATTTTGATAGAACAATTACCTTACCATCATAAAGTGTTCACAAATTCGGAATACTTTCAATTTGCCATTTCAGAAAATGTCTTTTTTATGAAAGCCACTCAAATTATTAATTTATGAAAAAAAAATTAGGAAATATTGCTAAATTCACATTTAATACATTGGCTAAACTGAACAGCTATCAGCAGCTTTTGAATAAATAGGATATACTTGTTATATATATCTTATTTGACTATGTGTTCCCTAAATAAACGTCGTGAGGCGAATTCCTGCTTGGGCTTAAGTCCAATTACAACTGCATTGCGTCAGATCTATCAGCTATCAGTTGACATATGTCACGTGCACTCAGCCAAAAAGCAGGCAATAGAAATGGCGACTGCAGCTATAAAGCGCAACTATTTCAGACTCAACAGACGAATTCCAGCCACATAGAGAGCTGCATGACTTTATGCTTTATTTACGAGGCACACAAGGCATAGAGGGCAGCCCACACACTCAAACACACACACACACACACACTCACACACACACTCACACTCACACACACACACACACTCGCACACACACACACACACACATAACACGTTGCGGCACAAACGAAACATTTCATTTCCGTTCCATAAACAGTTTTGGCCCTAGGCAATGTTTAAATGCAACAGTAATAGCAAAATGAAATCAGCACAGAGAAAGAGTAGCAATGGGAGCCTCGGGGCAACATGCAACACCTTTGCCAGATAGTTGCAGGTCTCGGTTAATTTCAAGCAGCTGCTCGCCTATACAATTTACAGAGCCTGAACACGCAAAACCTTTTGGCAAAAATGCCTAGCACAGACCAAAATAGAGATGGGGAACGGGGAACGGGACTGGCAGCAGCAGGATTGAGTCCGGGAATCCGGACCCAATGGGCGCTTTAAACTTGAAACTTTCTAATTTAGCGTATATTCGACGTCATGATTATTGTTTGCCTTACCGGCCAACCATTGTTTCGTAGTTTCAATTCTGTTTTCAAGTACTTTTGTTGAACTTTTCGCTGTTTGCACGCATAAATAGCAACAGCAGCAAGGCTCAACGGCAGCCAGCACAACTTTATGCCAATAGAGGCGCGCTAATGATGGCCAATTACCACGGCCCGAACAACCAACGTGAACAGTTATAAGTACAGCCCGGGGGCAAAGAGGGTTCATCGGTCACTGAGCTCATCCCTTTCCTAATATCCGTACAATTAAAGTTCAAGTTTAGGGCTAACATTATTATTCTATTATCCTCTCCTGCAGTTGCAAAACGTCTAATGAAATAAACATGTGAAAAATATTTAAAAAATCAAATACAAATCAAATCAACATTATTACGAAAAAGTGACTTACAATGCCCAGAATATATCATCAAAGACTTCGACCGGCCTGGGCGAATGCAACAAATGTGGCTTTAGTGCTACTCATTTTAATGTGCCACAAATGCAGTTTGCAAAGGGTTGATGTGCCAGCCGAAGTGATTGGTAAGCTCAAGTTCAATGCAACTGCCATCTATAATTTATTATAAATTAAGATACAAATAACATAAATATCTCTTAAAATTACCATACACTTTGTATATTATTATGTGTATAATTTATTTGTACAAGTTACAAATTTAAGTGCTCTATCATATTACAAACAATTATTAGATGGTCAGGAAAATAAACAAATTGGGTTTTCTAATAAGTAAAATCAATTAAAAGATTACAGCATTACAGCAAAATGGTTAAAGCTAATTAGTAAAACAAAGATTGAAATATGATTTGGTTGTAACCAAACAAATTGTGGCCAATACACATATTTGATGTTTAAGTCCGATAGAAGCTGTTACTTAAAAAGTAATATTTCATAATTCTCTGCCAAATACTTAAAATAAATAAATAATTTGTACAATTTTAAAAGTCTTAAATGATATTCATTATATAAAATTAACCTTTATTTAAATATGAGATGTAGATTGCATAAACCAAAATAATCCTCAACAAAGACACATAATTAATTGCAGAATAAATATCAAAAATGTCACCAATAAAAATAAACAAAACCTCAATAATGTGGCACTATCACAATAAAACGAATCATAATGCAGTAGTAATAAAAGGCTATATATGTGGCACTCAATTGCTAAAACATTTTTCCACAATATACAAATTAACATTGATTCCGGGAGATTATTAAAATGACAACATGAATGCTCTGGTCCATTACAGTTGATCCCAAATTTAGTTTTCCAATTGCAAATGTGACAGCGCCGGTGGGACGTGACGCTTTCCTCACTTGTGTCGTTCAGGATTTGGGGCCATATAAGGTAAGCCGAAATACACGAGGGAAGTCCCCAAACAAATCTGTTAATAACAGCACATCAAATCAGAGATACCATAATACATACAAATACATATACATATACATATACATATATAGAGAAGGTGAACCCCTCGTCTCAATTACACACTCAATAAGCAGCCACAAAAACCCAACCGGTCGCATTAATATTCATTAGCATTTTACCTTCACCCAGACGGAAAACTCGTAATCTCAAAGACCAAATCTCGACACCCAAAACAACACCAACAATCGCAACAACAGTCAACAACAACAACAACAGCGTTGAATTGAATGGAAATGAAAGTGAAAATAAAAGCATAAATAGGAATATGCAGAGCTTAGCAATAACAAAAGCGAAAATCACATAAAAAGTAATTGAAATATGAATGCGAATGTGTTAAGCGAAGGGCCGCATCAAATTGAGGGTTGTAGGGTGCACCGTTTGTGGTTGCTATCAGGCTCCAGGGGAAGGGGGTTGTGGAGTCGACATGCTTCATCATCGTTTCTGTAACTGACTGTCTTTCTGTTTGTCTGTTTGTCTGTCTCTCTGCCTGTCTGTCTGTCTGCCTGTTTGTTTGCGGGTTTCAAAAGCTATGCAACAAAGCCAAAAGGTAAAGCACTATTGAAGCGGAAGGCTTTGTTCTGTCAGCAGCCCACTCTAGTTAAGCAACCCCAACCAACCCCAGACCAACCCCAGACCAACACCACCCTGCCCGAAAACACCGCTTTGCACAATTAAGCGATGTTCTGCTCAAAGATAATTGAGCAGGCACTTGGGTGTAATTACTTATTTTATGCTGACAGTATGTTCAGTTTTTCTGGCAGTGCCGAAGTCAAATTCAATTTGAAGGTGCCCCAACACAAATAATTCATTAGCCTAGCCCATTATCCATCGATAGGCTGTTACCTCTATATTTTTACTTATAAATGTATATATATGAGAACTGAAATTGAGATTACTCCAATACCCTTAAGTGTTAACAAGCCTGCTCAGCTGAGCCACTCGAATTGTTTTCCCACGTTTGCCACTATTTATCATGCCAAATATTCAGTTACTGAGCAAAGTGACGAGGGGGATTGGTTATTATATATGTACCTTATACATGATATACCCATTTGAGTCTCAACTTGCATGCTGCGTGCTTTATCGCATCATAAATTACCGGCATAATTGTACAATTACAGCCAATTGTGTATGTGTGTGCGTGACAAAGCTACTAACTACTTTCGACTCTAAAGTTTAGAGTCATAAGTGAAATAATTTGAAATATTTCTTGGAAAAGATTTTGGGATAATTATTGTGCAGTGCATGCCATTTTCGAATTTTAGGCTGACTCACAGGAACCCTAATCTGAGTGTATTTATCCATAAATAGCGAGCATTTAATATTAATTATATAAGTGACTCATTTAATGCATTGGAAAAGTGCAGTTGAAGAAAATCTTTTTAAGAAAGCAACCCTCAAAATTTCTCATTCCAGATATAAAGCAACCAATCTTAAGAATCAAATAAATTTCAGCTCGGATCAATTTAATTTTAGTCCCATCAGATAAGGAAGCTTCTATTATTGACTACACAATTCTTAGTCGATATATGACTGATTTGCTTTTGTGTTCGATTTAATACGAATAAATACATTTATATGTCTCCAAAACAGCTGCTGTCAACTACAAATTTCATATGCTTGCAGCAAAAATAACTTATTTTACACGCCCATTTCTGTTAACTTTCCCACACAGGTTGCGTGGCTGCGAGTCGATACTCAGACGATATTGACGATACAGAATCATGTAATAACCAAAAACCAACGGATTGGTATTGCAAACTCGGAGCACAAGACCTGGACAATGCGCATCAGGGATATCAAGGAGACGGATAAGGGCTGGTAAGCACATGGCGCCACTGCAAGTGATCTCAACTCATCCTAAATAAGGACACAACTTTAAACTTACAGGTACATGTGCCAAATAAATACGGATCCGATGAAAAGCCAAATGGGCTACCTAGACGTTGTGGGTAAGTGAACAGAAGACAAAATTCAAGGGCTGTTATGGTGCAATAAATCCCAATTTGCTTTATTTATTTCGTTTGTCAAACAATCATACGCCTCGTTGCCATTGCGGCTGGCCATTGTTCGAACAGTTATTCATATTCCGCCTTATACATATATATATATTTATATATATGTAAATAAAAATGAAAATACGAAAATGAAAATAAATCCGCAAACAAAACGTTTCCGCATCGCGGCAGTGAGAGTACAGAATTAAAGATCGCTCCGCCATTTATTAACAAAAAAAAAAACATAAAAAAAACTTTGCTGGCTAATGCACACGGCTCAGCGGCAGCGAAACATCGAGTGGCTGCTCAACCACCCCTTCACCCCTTCACCCACCTTTTCCATTCGGAACCCAACGACCCACTCTATTGTGACTACTTAAACATGTTTAACCGTCCACTGAACCGCAGAAATTGTTGATTTTGAATTAAAACGGTGCACGGTAAGAAATGTGCCCGGCCTAGGAAATGGTTCGCTGCGAATACAGTTGTCGAGTTGTCCATTTGCGGTCTTCAAACCGACCCCTCTAACATCACACAACCACAATCGGCACCTCTTCCTGTGCCCCAACCGCTCACAGTTGCCTAAATACCTTTCGCTGGAAAATCTAAATCAACGCGCTAAATATTTTAGCCACCATGCAACCGGGCTCGGACCTTTGCGCCAAACACGAAAAACTATAATCAACTGTGTGTATTTGCAGTGGATAATCAGGCCACCACAGCAGCAACAGGAACAGGAATGGGTAGCATTCGAGGAGCAGGCAGAGACGCGTTTGGGGCTGTGGGCTGAGCTGTGATGGGGTGCTGCTAGTGCTGATGATTTTCGTGACCAAGTGCAGTTAAATAGCCGACGACAAACGGCAGCGGTCACACAGTTGGCAGCTCCGTTCGTTTGAATGCCATTTCCCCCATACACACACACACACACACACACACACACACACATATATATACTCATACACATTCGCAAACACAAAATGACAAAATATATATGATACACGACCTCCCCTACACAAAGGCATTTGGCACGAATGGCATTTAGGCTGATGAGATTTTCATGGAGCAATGCAGTTTGAGATTAATGCACACCATTATTTATTGTTTTGACAGCAAAATTGTTAAGCAAATAATTGAATAAGCTGAACAGTTTCTGTTGAATTCTCTTTAACATTCATAGGCCTTTTTTTAACTTGTAAAAACCAGCAAAATTAATCACAAGCAACTTTTTCATTATTATAAACTCAATATTTTTTTGTATCCAATATCTCAAGACACTCCAAAGACTAATACTTATAGTTACTCATAAGATACAAGTTTTTGTCAACATCTCAACGATGCGATTTTTATAATAATACTTTTTACTCTTGAGTAAGATCAAATAAGCAATACAAATGAGGAATCGCTGACATAATAATAAAATTTAATTACAAAATTACTATTCACCTGTTTGAATTCTCTTTTTTCTATTATTGCACTGCAGCATAATTTTGGTAACAAACTTATTACCGTATCATATTCTTAACCCAACACAATCACGGCGACTTATCTGTATTGTTGTCGCCCCCATTCAGTCTTTGCTTCTAATTAGCACCAGTTCGGTTGAATACTCGCTTCATTCCGAATCCCCTTTTCAGCCCTAACCTTGGTCACTTAATGACCATTCAGTGGTCAGAACAGTTCAGCACACAGCTGGATACGTTAGGATACCCCCAGCATTCCCTCCACTCCCCTCCCCACCCACCAGTCGACCGACTCGCGTCTGTCGTCTGTGTTGACTCACCCTATGACAAGCTGTTTGTCAACACCAGCACATTTTTTGGTCATTTACCGACCACATAATTGCGGCATATTATATGTATGCATATGGTACACATACCAGGTGGGGGCGCCTATTCTCCGCCCCTCCCATCGTGTATTCCCCCTGATATTTCAACGGCATTATTACGTTTTCCCGGTTCAGGGGTTTTCCGCTGAGGGCTCAAACATTCGCTGCTGTGGTCGTGGTCACATTACGAGTATATATGTAAATTGTTTTTTATTTTGTTTCGGCGACGGGACAAGTGAAAAGTTTGTCCTTTAAACAAAGGCGCCGACAAGGACTCATTTGCCGTGCAAGGATATCTTTTGGGACACATGAATATGAATCAGATTGCTGGCTGAGTGAAAAATGAGTGCAAATTGTTTAAATGCAATATTAACTCGCAATTTAAAATACTTGTGCATTTATTTAAAATTACGTGCAAATGCTGTTCATAATATTTCTCATTTTGTATCTCATTCTCTCTCTCTCTCTCTCTCTCTCTCTCTCTCTCTCTCTCTCTCTCTCTCTCTCTCTCTCTCTCTCTTTCTATTTCTCATTCTCTTATCTATTTTCTCATTTCATGCATTGTGCAATGCGATTTTTTTAAAAAATATATGTTGTAAACATTATCTGGCTGTGATGACGTCAACGTCGACGCCGACGACAAACGTCTGCCGGCCTCGATTGGAATGGCAAACCGATTATTATTGTTGTTGTTGTTGCTGCTGCTGCTGCTGTTGCAGTACCGCCGGATATCCTAGATTATCCCACAAGCACGGACATGGTCGTACGCGAGGGCAGTAACGTGACGCTCAAATGCGCTGCTACCGGTTCACCAGAGCCGACAATTACATGGCGACGCGAAAGTGGAGTGGCCATCGAGTTGGCCAACGGCGAGCAGGGTAAGTCTTTGCCTTGCCAAAGGGCTTTGGGATGAAGTTGAAGTTTTGGGGTTTGAAGTATCACCATGGCCATATGCATACCTGACCCTCTCTCTCTCTCTCTATATATATATAAAACATATATACATATATATATGTATATGTTTATATGTGTGTGCATGCAGTTGTGTGTCTGAGTGGTAAGTAGTTTTTTCTGTTGTTGCCTGCTGCCTGCAGCCGGCTGCATGAGTTTTGCCAGCCAACATTTTCGAGTACTTTTGCACAAAAAGGTAGCATAGCAGCCGACTGGGTTATCGCCCAGCAGACAAGTGCACAACAGCAGCGGGTACGTGGCCAAAGTACCCAAGTACCCGTTCCTATCCAACCAGCATGGTTTTTTTTTATTTTTCCTGCTAGTGTCGATGTGTTGGTGGCACCAGCATTTCCCTCTTTGCCTCTGATGATGACGTTCGATGGCTGCACTGACAGAATTAACGAGAGATTAGTCAGCGTGTGGGTAGGAAGAACAAAGGTTTCTAATTGGCCTTGAAGCACCTGTGGGAGAGGGGATAACAAGCGAAAAAAGCATGCTTAGTTTTTGATTTTGTGCAAACTAGTTGCGAACCAGGAGCATAAACAACGTTGACCAGTGTCATTAAACAAGTTGGGTTAAGCGATTTCATACACAACAAATAAATATATATATTGTTGAGTGCAAAGAATTTCAATTCAGATTAGATAATTTGATTATATACTCACGCATATTTGTGCAATGTGCAAATTGCTTTAATTATCAAATTCACTTAATACAAACATTAAAATATGCTCTTTAATATATATTCAAAGTGTTATCTTATTAATTGGCTTATAAGCATCTCACATTTCCAACTTAATTAGGGTTATCATTTACCCCACAGCATTCGCTCAGTGTAGTCCATTGCATAAGTTATGCTTTATAAACAGGGCGAGCCTCATCAAACTCCACACGAAAGGCCAAAATCAAAGGTTGCCTAGAAAAAAGCCACACGGAAAAAAAGCCAAACTCAAAAAGAAAAAAAACAAAACAGCGGTCAAAAAAAATGAACGAAATCAGCATAAATAGAACAAAAGTTGGCAAAATGACCTTTTCATGGTTTAAATTTCTGCCACCATAAAAAAAAATAACCTGTTCAGTTGAACTGCGGAAGTTTCTACCACAATTCGTAATACGCGATGTGAGTTTATGTTGCTATTTTCGTGTCCTGCGGAGGAGTATTAAAACGCCATCCTTTCTTACGAATATATTGAAGAAATTACTGCGCTTTTCTTTAACAATATTTAATTGAAAAACATATTCTTTTAATTTTATTTTATTTTACATATATTTGTTTTGTTTGAAATTATCATGTAACATACATTTTTAAATGTTTAAATTTTTCATTCAATATATATATTAATCGACTTATATCAAAATCATTTTAGTTGTTAGAGTATTTTAGCAGCGGTGCTTTAAACAATTATTCTGTTGGTTGTTTTAAAATTGTCCGCTCCATTTGTGCGGCAAAAGTTTTTTTTTTTTGTATTTGAAATTTGATTATTTGGTTTGGTTGTTCAAATGGAATCATGGCGCCCAAGTAAAGTTTTTATGCTCTTTTAGCGTGGTGCGACTGTGGTGCTGTTCATTTCAGGCAAATTACATGTTATTCGTGGCTATTACGTTTAATGACCACACAAAAAGTGTGGCTAATAAGCAATGCGGCTATACTGGCATTAAAGTCGCACTGTGTGAACCTGCGCTACGCGAATCAATAAGCGAAAAATCAGCTTATTACTCACACACACATACATATACATTGCGTTGCATACGTAGCTATTTCAAGCGCAAACTAGCCAGCACTTCCGCTTCCGGTGCACCCAAACACAAAAACCGACACACTTCCACTCACACACACACACACACAGACACATAAATAGATATGGGACATATCCATATCATCATCATAGTGCACTTGCAGTCTGTGCTGCTGCCGGCTTAGCTAAAAAGTCTACAACTATGCAATTTATATATATATATATATATATATATAAACCGAGTTCGACTATCAAAACAGGATATTTGCGTGAACCTTACCGCAGCCCCAGTTATGGTCTCTATCTAAAGGTCGATCCGACTGGCGAACAGCAGCATAAAAGTCGCTAAAAGTTTTACCCTTTTGTATAGAACTTTTGTTGTACAAAATAAACCCGGAAAATATGCATGAAAAAGCTTTGTCGAATGTAATAACTATTATTACATGGATAAACATTTTGTAGATACATTTGTAGTTATATTATAATTGCATAGGTACTTTGGTTAAGCAACAACTTTCAAAATGTGGCCGTTTAGGAAAATGGTCGATTGTTCGCAGGGACTATGAGTAGCTTTAGGAAGATTTATCTCCTAAGCTTTCATTCATATGACTAACTATCTGGCTATAAATTTAACAACTAATTCAATCTTCTTATACTTAAATTTCTTTGATTTATAGTGCCCAGCATTGAAGGTACCGATCTGATTATACCCCGTGTCAAACGTCAGCATATGGGAGCCTATTTGTGCATAGCTTCAAATGGAGTCCCACCCTCAGTGAGCAAGAGAATAACACTTGTGGTCCACTGTAAGTAGTAGCACAATTAAACCAATTTAAATAAATTCATTTAGTAATTATTAATTTTCAATTTATTTAAGTGTTATACATAAGAACATTGATTTTAATTTTCCAGTTGTTCATTAACTGAAGTGCTTCATTCATAGTTTACCTTGTAAAATACTCGTTGCAGTTCCGCCAATGATCACGGTGCAGAATCAACTAATTGGCGCTGTGGAAGGCAAAGGTGTTACTCTAGAATGCCAGTCGGAGGCATATCCAAAATCAATTAACTATTGGACACGTGAACGTGGAGAAATCGTGCCACCTGGTAAGTTGATACACAAATAAATTATTGTAAATTATATACTTGACTCCTTTTATTCGTCAAAACATAATCTATAAAAAATACTCACAATAAAGTACTCAGATAAGTCGGCTAAAGCCTTTTCCAGTTACTCAACTAGTTCATAACAACATCCAAAAAAAGGACTTACCATAAAACTCACGGTGTATATAGTAATAATGAAATGAAATTAAGGTTTTATAAATGTAACTATTTTTGTTGCTGGCCAACTGTGAATACTCTTGACAATTGCATGTTATATATGTAAATTGAAATTATCATTAAACAATTCCTAATTCGCAACAAATATATGAGCAGCAAGCTTTTGTATGTGTGAAAGTCCCCGTAGACACAGGTGGATTGGCAGGGAAGACTCCCAATGGTTGTTGGGAAACACCAACCCGACAGGGCAAAGTCAAGCTAACCGAACAGACTAACCAACGGATGACACAGAAAAGTTTATAAAAAGCAGACAGACGACGATTCCGGACTAATACCCATGAAAACCTGATGATGGTTGTCTGCCACACCACTGCGATTTCTCACTGAGAGAGTTTTATCTGATACTGGGAAGCAGAGCAAATACATTTAAATAGTGCCAAAAACATATTAAATTTTTCCTTTTTTGTAAGTTGCCATATTTTTTATTTTAAGTTAACCAGCAGCTCATTCACCCTTACACTCTTCAGTTGTGAAGTGTGTTATTGCGTTCATACATAAATTATTCGCCTGCTCGCCTGTCAGCAACATGCTCTGTCCTGTTTTCGTATTCGTACTTACGGACAATAAGCGTGACATGCCTTTAATTCTTTAGTAATGCAAAATGTCATTTAAATGATAATTATTTTATCATTTTAATGGAATTTACTAACAACATATCGAATATGTTTTTCAACTGCAGGCGGAAAATACTCAGCGAATGTCACAGAAATCGCTGGATATCGTAGTTCAATGAAGTTGCACATCAATCCTTTGTCACAGGCTGAATTCGGCGCCTATCGTTGTGTGGCCAAGAACTCACTGGGCGATACAGATGGAACCATTAAGCTTTACAGTAAGTAGAGCTCTGGACTGAGTATCGTTGTTTATGACAGCTGAAACTAACTTACACTTCATAGGAATACCACCCAATGCCGTCAACTATGTGGAGAACTTTGAGGCGCGTCACAAAGGTAAGTCAAAATTTAAGCTACATGCCAAACAGTGTCATAGCTTTTGCCAGAATGAATTTAAAAAATGCAGGTAAAAGAATGCTAGAGACCCCTTTACATTATTTAAGGTGATTTACAATCCTGGCTTAGAAAATCAATACTTTTTTAGAAGCGATTTTAGAAGGCTCTTTCAATTAAAAAAAATGTGATAGAGCCTTAGAATACCCCTGTTTGCTTAAAGCAAATTGTAGCACATTTAGTATATGAATATATAACTAGGTTCACAGGCACATCGCACAACAAAGCACTCAAATCTACTGAAAGGCATAGTACAAGAGAGATATTTCAGGGTGAGAGAAGGCGCGAGAAAAGCGAGATTTAATAGCCACTCGGCATAAATTTAAGATGAGCGGCAAATATTTCACTTTGCCAGGCCAAACTTCTAAAAAAAAATAATAATAAAACAGAAGCAAAACACAAACCGAGCTGGGAGCAAAGGCATAAATAATTCATTTGGCATGCAAATCCGTTTCAAATTGTCAACGCCACGAACCAGGTGAAGCAAGTAGTCCACAATGAAGGGCAGCAGGTTCCGGAGGGTTGTGCTCAAAGAAACGGAAATGGATATAAAAATGAAAAAGCAACAAACCTGTGAACTAGTCTTTTATAAATATAAATTAAGTATAAACTACTTCAACTGGGAGTAAAGGGAGTAATTTTCGAAACGGAAAAAAAAACTAAACCACAATTCAATAATTTCACACAAAAAAAACACAGGCAAAAAGCGAACGAAAAGCTCCGATATGTATCATTCGTCCAGGGCGCAGGAGCACAGCGGCGAGGACACTGAGAATCCCGGGAAGCGAAAAGGTAAGCCAAGTCAATGTGCTCATCCTCCTCTCTCTCTCTCTTTCTCTCTTTCGGTTGGGTGTGCGTCGCACCGATTAGGGTTACGGGCCATATTTCAAGCATTTATGGTCGAGGGGCCACCCTCACCCTCACCCTCACCACCAACCCCAAAACCCCAACCTCAGACACAGCCACAGGCCCAAAACCACCGTCCCGAGCTACAGCTTAACAGGCCACTTGAGACGGGACGAATGCTATAAAAAATGTAACCTAGGACCTAGCGACATTGTGAGCTGAATGGTTGCCGCCGCTTGTTTAACAGATTTTCACACTAATTTGCGAGCCGCAAGACCAATAAAAAAAATACGGGGCGGAAAAAAAAAGGTTGTCCAAATAAGTAGGAAAAACGTTGCATTCTATTTTGGGGCAGGTAAAAGTTTTGGCTGCTTGGGCACACATAATTGTATATCAATAAACACGCTCGGTTTGGCTTTATGGCAATTTAATGATTTGTAAATACTTGGCTACAATCAAATAAATTCTTTTGTGGCCGAAATTGAGAAGTTGCCAAGAGAAGGCCAGCAGTTTGGGTTTGCTATGGAATGAGGCAGTCATTTTTGGCTTAAGTGCTAAAAGTTATGCTATTTTTATATCCTAATTGAGTTGTGCATTCTAATAAGGCATCTGAAATGAAATGAAATGTGTTCATAAATGTAGAATTTAAAGGTGAGCTTATTTGAATTGAACAGCTAGCTTACATTTTTGTGTGTTCGTGATGGACTTATTCAGCTTAAGATTATATTCTGACAGTGAAAATCAAATTCAGTTCCAAAAAAATAAGGAAACTCTTCAGACAACAATAAAAAAAATGATTAGGATAAATGATGAAGGACTAGAAAAGCAGTGAAATTCTCTACTCAATAAAAACTAATGATTCAAATTGTAGAAAATATTTAGAATAGCTAAACGATTGCTTAGCGTGTGTTAAATGTTGTTGGTGCCATATCCGCCTTATTACTGTCTTGTCAAATGTCAGCTAACCAAATCAGTGCCCAGCTAATCATTTCAACAGCCCCGCCCACAAAATCATCACTTACATGCTTAGCCAATTTCCGCTACTAACCCGCCAAGCCCATTAACATTTTCCACTTTTCCTCCTTTTTACCCTTTCTACAACGCCTCTCCCGCAGCCGATTTGAGTCTTAGTGCGGAGGGTATTGACAGCATATATGGAACATCTGCAGCTGTGTCCCGGCATTCCAGAAATCCTGGCCAGAGTCTGAGCTGTCTGTGCCCGCTACTGTTGCTATTGCTGCTGATGAGGACGACGATGACGAGAAAATTGTCGAAACTACTGCGAAAAACTCAACTGGCATTGTTGCCACAAGCACTGACACATGTTTGACACAGACGTCAAGCGCTAACAGAGATTAAGCAGATCCAGACCCGCTTACCGCAGCCGGAGCAGGAGCGGAAGATGGAGTCGGAGATAGCAGTGCGATGATGGCGTTTGGCTTGATTGAGTTTGCTAATGCCAAAACGTGAAGAGCTAGTGCTGATTTATGGCACGTGGCTTAGTTAAAGTTCAACGATGCAACATACACATATATCATAAAAAAGTACGATGGAGTAGCTAATAAATAATAAGTCAACCAGGCTTCCTAATCCCTACGCGTGCATGTTCAAACTGTTGAATTCTAGCATAAGTTTATCTTAATTTCAGCAATTTGTAATATATTAAGCAATATATATAAATTGATAATGATGCAAATTACAAGTGTATCTCTCATATGAACTTCTATGGCACATGTACATAAGCGTACAGCAAACGGTTTTTTCATATTCATAAGTGATTAGAGAGGGCAATGTACATTTCTATAAACCAAGTGGACATAATTAAAGAGACTGTATGTGTGCAAAGTAACATTTAATTGCAGCTAAATTGAATGCTAAATTTAGCTTAAGGACGGTGTTAAACAAATGTTCTTTTCACTGGAAACGTTTGGAGCGAACAGAGATTGATGGCATATATATCTATAAATAATAAAGCATGCCGAAACCAAAAAAAAAACTATCAAAAATAGGAAAAAAATTTAAATAATAACATTTGATCTGTGCGACATGCTCAGCAGCTGGCTGTGTGAAAATGCAAAAAAAAAACACACTTGAAAATAAAATATTTAATCAATTAAAACAAATTGAAATATCACAGAAAAATTTTAAGTTTCAATTAATTTTTGCGTTCCGTTCCCAAGTCCATCATCCGTTCCAGCCCAACAAACACTAAAAAGGAAAGTTAAATGTAAAATTATAAATATATACTACATACATATCATTTACGTAACTTTGCAAACGTTATGGATACCATATATTAACGAATATATCAAATATATATCGAGTTAATTATTTGTTTTACAAGCAATTAAAAATTCTCCAATATAAATACTCTTGACATCAAAAAAGGCCAAGTTTATATTGTAAAGTACATATTTAAGTAGTATATTTAAAGCACACAAAACTTATAAACAAAAATAACATTGCAACGCTATACAGCTTAAATGTAGTGCGAATATTTAAAGAATTAACTAATACAAAAATAGATTGCATATTTATTTATAAAATTTAATAAAATGTATATGAAACGGAAAAAGTAAAAATTGTTATATGAAAGGCGAATAATATGCAAAAAAAAAAAAAAGAAAACTGCTACTTATTGTATATGTATAAGCATCACATGTAAATGGCAAATCGACAGGAATATTTATATAATAAATAAACTTTAAAGCGTTAAGTAACACAGATGCTTCGTTTTGCTTTTGGGTGGGCGGGTGTATATAAATTAGCAAAATACTTAGTTATTTGGAATTACTTACAAAACGAGTGGGTGCTGCCTTGATTTCACCTCGCAGTTAATCAAAATGCCAAGAATGCGCATAAATTTGAAATATATCCAACTGAGTGCTAAAAAATCAAATTAAAACAGCCAACCAATTCGAAATAAAACCAAAATTCTTTCATTAAGACCTGTTTAAGTGCAGGTCAGCACGCAAAAATACAAAAAAAAAAGAAGAACAATAAATATTCAACAATACAAAAACTAAACCAAAAACTCTTCAAGTCCGTAGCTAATAAAAACTACAGCACTTTTGAATGTGTGCGTGTCTGTTTGTGTTAGTCTGTGTATATTACGAGTAGTTTTTATTACATTTGTTTCCAGGAATTTTCAAACATACCAAAACAGCTGCAACTCCAATGCCCGGCCCCACCCATTTGAAATTCAACCACCTGAGCGGGTTATATGCACTGTTTTTTGTTTACCTTTCAGAGCCAACGTTTTTTTTTTTACTGCCTTTTCATAGAGTCTTTTTTGAGGGCATTTGCGTGTGAGTGTGTGTGTGTGTGTGTGTAGAGTATTTTGACCCATGCATAATATTGTGTGCAAATATCCGCCAGGATTTTGTTCTTTTTTTATTATTTGGTGGTTCCACACACACACACACACACACACAGATACACCGACAAATGCACATATAATACATATAAATCTCAAGGTTAAATTGTTGTAAATATGCATCATGGTGGATGCATGCAGGGCTTATTAAAATGCTTTTACAGCACCAGCAGCGAATACCAGCACACTGGCTATCTGACCCGTATAACGTGCATGTTAATAATGTCAAACTGCTACGGGGCATTAAGCCTTGCTTTCTGATTGCAAACATACCAAAAAAAAAAACTAGGCTAAAAATGCTCAAAGAGATCGATTTTTGCATGCAAGCAGTGTGAGATTACCAGCGATTCAAAAAGTCAATAAAGAATAATGAAATATCGATACGCTTTCACTTTAAGAGCTTTGAAAATGATTGCTTCATACCCAGTTATGTCCCAATTCGGCAAAAGATTATAAAATGTATATATTTCTAAATATGTGTAGATAATCTGTTAATTGCAAGACGAACGTTTCTCACTTGAAATTCAATTAACAGCTGGCCAGCAATTATGTAACACTATTTGATGAATAGAAAAAAAAAAACTTTTAGATACGCTACCAGCGAATCGAATGAACAAAAAATTAACATAATTACACAACAGAAAAAATATGCCAAAAAAGAAAAACAACAAGGACAAATGCAAAGGAAATAAAGGGAGACTCAGGGAAATGTGGAATGGAGCCACCTGGCGACAGCTGGCAGCCCTACACACAATTAACATTACTTAAATACACATTAAGGTTAAAGACGCGCAATTTTTTCATGTTCTGGGGCTATTTTTTCTTGGCCGAGTTGTTTATCACAAATTTCGGGCTGCAATGTCTGAAGGGGGAGCTACAAAAAATTGCGTGACGCAGCAAACAAAAACATTTTGACAAGAAAAAAATATCAAAACCAAAAAAAAAAAAAACACACACACACACAAAACCAAACTGAAAGCTGGCAAAACTTGGAGAGGATTCGGAAAGCGGCTACGATGATGACGATGACGCGACGTCAGCGGAAGGGCAATGAAAATAAACACAGTAATTAAGTTAATGAGCATTTTGAGATTTATTATTAATTTTCTTTGTGCGGCGGCAACTTCAACTCCACCCCCTTCTCCCTTCCCCTGCAATCAAATCATTTCGAATTTTTCGTGGTTATTTATTATAATTGTTGTGCGCTCGCTGAATATTGTGGTGGCTGTTCTTATATTCTGTTCATTGCTGTTGACGGCTTTCGAGTTACGTTTAAAATGCGCAAATTTGCGCTAATCTGCATATATTTCTGATTTTTTCGAGTAGTAGTGGGACACACATCCTTAATTGTTATTTAAATGCTCGAATATTAATTTAAATGCGAATGGCAACGGTTTATTTCTTGAAGCCTTCATTAGTTTTCGGCCTGTCAGAAATTGTTTTTTAATTTATAGGTGCCCATAAAAAATTTGTATAAACCACACGCTCTACAAGTGGAGGCACATTAACATTTTGGCATTGTCATTGCTGTGATTATGGCATCATCTGAGCTCCAGTCTCAGCCTGGGTCTGTGCCCCACATCCCCTTAGATGTTTGTGTTTGGGACTTTGCCGTGCTTACATTTTATGATAGCCCATTAAACTTTACAACCTAGGAAAAAGAGAATGCAAACAGGAACACGATATAGCAAAATGCTAAATTGTAAATAAATTTCAGAGTAGTTAGGCACCCGTCAGCAGACAATAGCTATGATTTGTGTAAACATGGTGACAAGAGAAGAAACAATGTCTCAAAAAATTCAAGCAAGAGTTTCAAAAAACAAGTAAGAGTGCTGAAGTTGACTGAGTTTGACTACGATAAATGTCTTAAATATATTCTAATTGTATTGGCAAAATTACCTTTTTGCACACTCCTCAAGCAGGATTCCAAGCGCTATCATTTCTAATGGGAGTCACTGCAGAATGCTCCCAAACATATTTAAATTCAAAATCTTAAGTCTCCAGCTCTTATAGAGTCTGAGATCTGCAGGTTGTTACAGACGAACAGACAAATATATACATCGACTCGGCAGCTGATCCTAATCAAAAAGAAAACGTATATTCTAAAACACATCTACGATACGATCTCTTAAATGGCGTCGACTGTTGTTGTCTTTAAGAGTTTTACAAGTTTAAGAATAAATTAGGGAAACCCGAAAACATTTTACTACATAACATCATAAACATTTAATCGAACAGACTGAAACGAAGCAAAACAAATGATTATAGACATCCACAAAAATGATAATGATCAAGCCTGAAAAGCGATTAACAACCCATGGTACATGTAAATAAATTGCCGAAGCTTAGTGGAGAACATGAACAAATAGGGACGATATACTAATCACCTGGAAGGAAAGACAGCGCTGGCCCATACACTTGCTATAAATTAGCTTTGGACATATATAATCGAGCGTAGTCTTTGGTCTCTCATCATGTAAACAAAACTACAATTAATCAAAGATGTTACCTAACTGGACTTTATTACACACAGCTTTGCTTAATTGCATAAATAAAAGTCTGGTGGGGATCTGAGGGGGTGAGCAGGGCAAAAAAACCTTAATTAAGCCTCCACACAGTACCCAATCCCACACTCAAATTCCTACTCCCCGTGGAACTGACAAATAAATAATAAAAACACAAATTGACACACAAATGGGCAAGGGAAAATCGGTAAATATAGAAAAAGTTCACAATAGGAAAGCACAAACTGGTAAACAAGGAAGTGCAACTAACTCGCACACAAAACGGCACACGAAAGAAGTGTTGTGGGAAAAAGCTATCAGAAGGCAAGGCTAAAAGGTTATCGTATTGTCAGTGTGCCCAGCTTGGGATTGAGGGGTGTTCCGCACTCCACCTTGAGGGTTCAAAACACAGGCTTTTATTAATAATCTGCGCAGCAGGGAGGCAGTGTTGGAAATATCCACTTATATGAATGTCCGTGGTTTGTAATTAAAACGATTATAATTGTCATGGCTGGGCTATGTACACTGCTCGAAAAATTCAACAACAAACTGATGGAATGGACATTCAACAAAGAAAACAATTCTGAGCTCACTTTTGATGTTTTTACTTCCCATTTATGTGGAATTCGCGTATATATTTTTCAATACAGGTCATGATCACCATTGTGGATTTGTCCCCAAAAAATAATGAATCATTTATTGCAACTATTGGTTTATTGAAACATAATTGCTAAAATTGTAGTTAGCCATCCAATAAACTAGTTAATATAGGTTGATTTTTTTTTAGTGGTATCCAATCATCGGCGAATAATTAGAACTTTTGACATAATATTTAGTTTTTGAACTTTTTTTTAGATTTCTTAAAATTACTGTCGAAACAACTTGTTATCCGATTGGGCATACAGATCAATTTCCGCGGGATTCATTCGGATCGATATTGGAGACCCACTCAATGGGATTAACGTAGATATTCGATACGGTGCCGCGCAATGTGTCGAAGCCCTGGTTGAGGGGCACCGGCTTGGCCCGCTTGCCCACCGACTTCATCCAGTTGTTCCAGGCACCTTCGGACTTCTTTTTGCGCTGCTGCTCCAGCTGATCTCTGCTCTGCTGCTCTTGGAGCTGACGTTCTTGCTCGCGTTTCAGCTGCCTTGTCTTAACGCGTTCCCATTCTTCCAGACGCTTCCGCCGAGCCTCCGGAGTCTCCTTGGGTGGCTGTTTCTTGCCACCGGCACTTATGGCGCTTGAGCTCATGGAACCCGTACAGCTATAGCTGGAAGAGCTCTTGAGGCTAATAGTTGACGTTTTCTTCTGCTGCAACATCTTCTGCTTGCACCATTCATGGTAGCGCTCCTTGGCCAAACGCTGACGCATTGCAGTCTCCGCTTCCCGCCTCTCCTTCTCCTGTTTTTCCGCCTGTTGTTTCTGCTTCTTCTGGAGCTCCTTGCGCTTCACCCATTCCAGATATACATGCTGTTTCTGGCGATCCTGCTCGTCATCAAGAGTACGAAAGAATGTAGACGACCCAGACGAAGAGGTTGCCGAAAAATTGAAACTCAGCGGCGGTACAACATTGTCGTGACCCGGGGTCGGCTTGAGGGCATCTCCATACATATCGGTCCAGCTGAAAGTGGATGCAGAAGAGCAATCTTCGCGACGCAGTGTAGATGCCTTTAAATTATAGGTGCGACTGGTTAATTGACTCATACTGTCCGCCTTGCTGTCTAACTTTACGGGGTTTTTGATCGAATTTGATGGTTCCATTATATCACTAGCTAAGCTGCTATCCAAGGAGCCCAGGCTAAAAGCATCCTCTGCTTTCGAGTTGGAGCGACAATATGTGCTGCTGTCCACAGAGCTGAAACTTTGGGCATCGTCTTGTTGTAAGTTCGATTTACAAGCTCGGGGCTCATGAAAAGAGTCCATAGCATTAAAATCGTCTGGAATTCTTGGGCTGCAAACTGTGTCGCCATCAATGGAGTCAAGATCATCTGTCTTGGAAACTGTGCTGCATTTGAATGTCTCCTCATCGCTAGTCATGTCCAGTCCATCCTCATTCTCTCCCTCTCCACACTTGTCATTGCGATCGCTGAAGCCCACCACAGAATCCATATTATTGCCTCCACGTTCCAAGGCGAAAGTGCTTTCGATATCGACGTCTTCCCGTTTGTTTGCCACATAGCGCACAGTAGGCGATATGTAGGAGCGGCTACTGTACCCTTCCAAAGTGCCCGAATCAGTATCGTCATCACCCAAGTCGGGCATAGACATTGAGTTTGCTCCCATACCAGAAATCAGTTGACGATCCACCAACTGTCCCTCAATATTGCGACGTCCTACGAAAGCCATTCTCCAATGCTGGAAAGTGTCCTATGAAAGAGCTGAGAGTTGAGAGTGTTAATTCAAAATTTTCTTATGTTTATGTTTTTATTGATTGTTGGCAGTCATTTGTGTTAGCACCTCTACTCCCGATGACTAAAGCCTACTACGCACTAAATATTTAAACCAAGTATGTAAAGCAAATACCTAGGAATAAATAAACTAAGTAAAATATAAAACTAAGAAGAAGAGATCAAAGATTGTGAATAAAGTAAATTAGGCAAGCGTGTTTGACAAAGAAATATAATAGAGCTTTAACTGCTACAATATTTATATTAAAAATATTTATATATTTTGCAACATCATTTTGAAAGCACAGCCCAAGAGCCATCTAAGAAACAACACATTTTTTAGCAGTGTATTGACAAACACACCAACACAAAACGCGGCCCAGTTCGCTCTCTGAAACAAAATGAAAACATTTTAACTAATGACAAACAATTACTTAAACAAGTCGAACGAGAGACCCACACGACGACAGCAAAAGGTAATTAAAACTACACTACAGACACACTCACACACACACACACTCACACACATACACACACATGACGCACACCCAACTTCAGCACGTGTTTTGATGGTGTGTGGGTGTTTAAGCGTAAAGTTGCCGACTCTAAAATCGTTTGTTGCTTTTGCTGTTTTTGTCGATGCCTTGTTTGTTGTTTGTACGTTGTCAGTTACCTGGCACAGTTAATGAGCACCGCTTTCATTTTTAATGAGGCTCACCTACACACCCACACCCACACACACACAGTTATCCAAGCTCACATATCAGATGCACACACGAGTTGAGGTGTAATAAAAAACTTATCGCTGCTCGCTTTTGGGCGCCCGTGTGCGACGTTTGATAGACATAATTAAATGATTTTTATGTGCTTAATTGTTGTATCTTGCGCCGACATCGGCCTTATTAAAACAAAAAACAATTAAGTGGCCTTTTCTACTTACGACCTGCAAATGACTTGTCAAATGAGCGACAGGCGCCAGACAGAAGGGTGGGCTTTTAGGGTCTTTGTCCCTGCTCGCCGTCCCCATTCCTTGTCCGACAGTTGGTGTCGACTGGGTTGGGCTCCCAAATGGGCCACACAGATTAAAAAATTTGTTGCGACGCAATGAACCGTGGTACAACTATGCGGTTAAAAAATCAATCCATTTTTTTCTTAAAGCGAATTGATTGAAAGGTGCTTCAAAGTTATTTACCAGACATAATATTGGCGTCAGATAACTGTATCAAACGCATTTTTAAAGGAACAATTAAGATTAATTGTGGAATAAGTTATAATTGGTATATTTGAATGTTCTAAAATAAGTAATGAAAATTGTAACACTAATACCAAGCCATTTTAAAAGACACACTTTACTTATTTACTGCTAATAACTCTACTGCTGACTATAAAAGCGATTAACAATTGTTAAACCCACATGATCTAAAATAGTTGAAATAAAAATAATAAAAAAAACACCGATATCCTTGTGAGACAATTCTATTGTTAACTGTTAAATGGCTTAAGATATTTCGAATTGAATAAAGGCTGTGAACATTACCAGATGTGGTCAGAGAACAGAGCTACGAATGCACTGGAAAGGGATGTGTAAATTTAAAACTGGGAGGTAAATTAATTATTTAGGCTACAAGGCAATGGCATAGTTGAAACGAGAATGACCGAGCTCGAAGTGTACAAAATGTAATCAATATCCAACAGATGTGCATATTTAATTAATTACGAAGAAAAATAGAAAGAATTTTTAGCCAATTTCTACAGAGACATTTTGATCGCCTGCAGTTATATAACTGAAACTGTTGAATTGCTGCAATAGCGTAAATACAATAAGCCATAAAATACAGAATACGGGGAGAGCTGGGCCAACAGGTTGTATGTTTTTTGGTTTCAATTACATATTTCAGACACGCACTCAAATCACTTTTGATTTTTTTTAATTATAATTCCATTTCTCATTTTTTTGGATCGTTTTTGTTATTGTTACGAGTATTGGGATTGCCATTGATTATTATTGCTGTTGTATTGTTTGGGTGGCCGCGCGTTTAATTAAAAACGTGACAATTTTACCTGCGGCGAATGCGATACATATTTCATCATGCATACGCCATGTGTGCCCAAAGCAAGCTTGCGGTCGCCGAATGTTTATTTAAATAATTCAAAAGCCTGTTTACAATATATGCAACTCGTTTGCATAACATTTCACTTTTGATCTCCGCAAATTTAATTAACTTAATAAAACTCGGACATGCCGATGGGACGCCTACAATTTGGAATAAATATATATTTTGCAAGTTGAAATTGCACAACCATTAAGGTAATCTGTATGAATGCCCACGAATTAAATCCAATTCATTTTATTTTTCACACAAGTCAATGCCTGACTGAAGCAAACTTAAGCAAAATAAGTGTACTGTTTCAGCCAAAGACAAACTGTTGTCGTACTACTTATTACTTATTGTACTTATAACTTTTTGGTTACTCACCGCAAATAGTATTACTTCTTATCCCTTAGAGAATCAACGAGAGTGTATAGTTTTGGGCTTATATATATTTTTGTTTAATGAAAATGTACACAAACAGGTGTGAAATGTGTCAGCTAAATGTTAATTTGGCCTACTTATAAACTCAATTTAATATTTACTGACAAATGATTTGTTTCAGATTCAACTCAATACATAAGATTAAAGACTTTCCTTAACACATTTAATATTTAATTACGTAAAAAAGAACTTTAACTTTTCAAGTCCTGAAAGTCCTTTAAAAGTCTTCCAATCAGCCAGCTTCATCTCAGACTGCACACAAAAATCTTTTGCGCATTGGCACCTCACAAGGAAAAATGAACCGAAGACAACTCAACTTCAGTCCGACCACAAGCAAATCAGTTAAGTGCCATGCAAAAAAAGAAGAAAAAAAATTGGGAGACGCGACAACTTCAGTTAAGGACTAAGGTAAGTCAATTTACCTAATTGACTTAAGGCCAACAGAAAGTTTGGCAGTTGGCTCTTGTTACTTGGCTAACTCTCAAGTGGTAGATTTTGATTTGCTGCAGTTGATTCCGTGTGTTGTGCTGAGATAAAAATATTATTTGGTATATGGATACAGATATAATTAATTACAGTTACACACTGAAAATCCACAAACCAAAATAACATAATTTAATTATATATTATTATATTATATATTATAATATAATAACATTAGCTTAGTTAAATTAAGTTTATATTTTCTATTCCTATCCATAAATATTTAACTGGAAACTAATACTTGATATTTCAAGCTTAAATATGCATACATTGAAAAATTCAGTCGAAACTCCCCAAACCTTGTATCTAAATTTGCACTAATTAAGAGCGAGACAGTAGCGTGCCCAATTGTCAAACTGTCTCTTGCTTTCTGCATTCCAAATATTCGTTGGCATGCTAACAATTTATCAAACATAATATTGATGTCAAAAGCGTTATGAGCTTTTAATGGTTCAACAAACTTGCAGCCACTAAAACTTTAAAGCGACAACAGTATCCCAGCCAGAACGGACTACCTAAAACTACTATTCATAGAGTTGGTAGCAACAACGACAAGGACAACTTTGCTAGCTAGTTAAATAAACTTATGTTGAGCCAATGTCGCTCACATGTTTGTTGCACATTTCCGCTTACGTGAATATATTAATATCCAAAATTTCATTGCCTGAGCGTGATGGGTGGGGCCAAGTGTTGTCGGCAATTCAATTAGTGGGCAACTTGCATTTATCCTATTTTAATGCTGTGTACTTTCGAAATGCACACAAACACATACACAATTATTGAAGTAAAACAGTGTTGGTGTGTATGTGTGTGTGTGTGTGTGTGTTTGTTGTCGTCATGACAACGACTCGAGCAGGATTCGAAGGACTCCTCGCATGAATTCGTGACTTATGCACTGACGCACCCAATTATGGCCTGGGGGCAACTATAACCGTAACCGTCTCGCCTACTATCTGTCTGTGTGTGTGTGTGTTTGTATGTGTGTGTGCTTGTGTGAGTGGCTTTCTGTATCTCGCATCTTCGTCTGCATCTAAACCTATTTTCGGTTTAAAGCATCTCAAAAACTATGTCAAATGAAATTTATGCGATGCTCCCAAAAGACGGCAATGAAAACATACACACACACACACACACACACAGGCGTCTTCAACCGCAATATGCGTGTAGCTTTTTATACGTGGATATGTGTGTGCGTGTATGTGTGTATAGGTGTGTCTTAGCTCTCACTCTTTCACTTGCCTGCAATTGTGTCGGTTTTTTGGCTGCTCGTTGCATACTTTATGGCGTAGCCATCATTGATAAGGCTTCAACGTGATGGTGACGGCAATATTTCATCAGCAATTGTTTGAAAAGTTTCTTAATTAAAAATGACAGGTTATCAGCAAAGATTTCGGGCTAACTAATTGAATTTGCCAAGTTAGCGCTGCTCGTGATATGTAGAGTTTTGGCGCTTGTAGCTGAAGGTGTTGAATGGCGCTTAAAAACAATAGCGCTGAGAGACTCCGCTCAAGAGTTAAGCAGGATTGAGAGCATTATGGAACAAATTGCTACTCAAGACAAATAAATATGCAGAGTACTATTGTGCTTCTAAGCGCAAAGAAAGCAAATCATTTATTCCAACATTTCGTACATTTTGATTGTTTAAATACAAATATATGACATTTATTGATGGGCAGTAAAGAAATTGTAATCAGTAACAATAATTTTCATATAGTAAACATTTTAAAGAGAATTTATTTTAGTATTTTATTTTTGTGGTTATTGAGTTTATTATGTCCAGTTATACTATATTATTTTCATTTATTAAATTTTAAATTGATTTTCCAGTTGCATTTATCAAACTTTTCCTCCCTTGAATCTTTAGATATTTGTCTGCCTAACTTAGCGCAGACATACATCACACATTTAATACATTTAATTTGTAATATCTAAAAAGCTTCTCATTAGACTAGCCACAAATATGCAAAATGACGAGTCTGAGGCGATTATATCCACACAAGCCAAATGCTAGATAGCAGGGAATTCGCAATCCCTCACAGCATTCCTGCTCACTCCGCTGCTTAGCAAACACTTTGAGCAAGCTGCTGACAAACATTCCTGTTCTATTTGCCTGGCCTCCAATGTATCTAGAACACCGCAGCATTGCCGTAAGTACAAATAAAAATAAAAAAAAAATGATAAAAAGTGGAAATAAAACTGATTTCATTACCTTGATTAGTTGGTCCCTTCAAGTCTGCGCTGTGTGTCCGCTTGTGTGTCTGAGTGCATAAGTCTGTCGGCAGTCAGTTTGTTTGCCTGCCTTTTCCAGTTTTTTTCTACACATCTGAAAATCCAACACGGCGCTTATGATGGAAAATGTAGAGGTAAGTGTAAAGGGAAGTGGGGTTGGCCATCTTTTGGCCTCGCTGTTTTGGTTCAATGCAAGCATTAACCTCATTAGCATGCAACTCTGAATGGCGCTCGGAATGTATATAGTACAACCATCTCAACTGGGATTCGTTTAAGCAGCAGATGCAACTTCTCTTTTTACTATAACGGATTAAAATTAAATGCTGAGGGCGATTTGTTTATCTTCAATGGAATTTTAAGCATTAAAAGTACTAAAAAGTATTGCATTCATTTGATGAGCTTTGCTAGACATTGATATTAATAACACAAGATGGTAAATTAATTTATTATAGTAGTCATATTTGAATATGACTATCAAAGTCTTAATAATTGAAATCATTTTTCTGCATTGATTCACTGAAACATGAGGTTTCTAAATTCTATTGTTATGACAACAGAAACCGGCAAATAGTTGCATATTCTTCTGGTAATGTTCTTCAATCTTTTTTAGCAAGTTCAATTCGTGAAAAACAAGTACGGCTTCTAATAATTTCCTTCTTTATCCTTCCTGATTATCATTCTTCATACCATAACAATGGCTAACTAACAAGTTTGCTCTACAACGCTGTATTCGTTGAATATAATGTTTGGAGTTCTCTTCTTACTTCTATTTGAACTATGCCGCTATGAAGCAAGCCAAGCGCCAACTGGCAGAAAAACTTAATTAAGCATAATAGAGTTGAGTTCTCGACCCGACACAGCATGAAATGCAGCGGTAATTTTCTTGCCTCCTTTTTATTTGTAGATATCCAGCAGTTGTAAGTAGCTGTTGGTAATTTGCGCTTAGCCACACTTACAGACCAACACGCGCTGACAGTGGGCAAGACGAGGACCAGATCCAAGCTGGATAGTTTGGAGTAGAGGCTGATGGAGATCTTTGCAGTTCCTTGCACATTTTAATTGCATTTCCGCTATTTTTGATGCCCTTTGAATTTATAATGCCTGGGATTGTGAACTGTGCTTACTGGCACGTCCTGAGAAATATAATTCAATTAATTACAAAGACGACAGGTGCAAGGTAGCAAACACCTAATATTAATCAAACGCAGCGTGAGAAAAAAAGTTATCCTACAAATTTGTTAGACCAAAGGCCTTCAGGGGCAGCATTTGTATCTCATAAACATGTTTATTTCATTAGCGCTACACATGCGGCCATTTCAAATGTAATACTGCCTCGTGCCCCAAAAAAAAAAAAATAAATAAAATAAATATATAAGAAAAAATACAAATGTTGGATACTCCCCCAGGACATCATTTACCGTGCCGATTGCCACGATTCGACATGAAAAATGCGTTCGCGAGAAGATGCTCTTTATGATTGGGATTTGCGGCACTAATGTGCCATTGCTTGTCCCACGTTTTCGTTTCTTTTTTTTATATGTATGTATATATTTTCTGCCTAGTGAATATCCAAACAGGCGGTCTTACCTAGGTCCCACTGCACAACATTTTGAGGCTTGTAAGTTGCCGGTTCTGCCACTGACATGCTGTCGACATCATTACAAATAAATTGAGCGTGAAAGATACATTTCACCGACATTGCCGGCATGAGGCAATGATAGGCACTTTTTTCTTCCTTTTTCTAGAGCTATGGATGGAGGCTAAGTTGAGGATCTTAAGGTTATGGGATAGTACATATTCGTAGGTATATTCAACTTTAAAATATTTTTAGTAGCTTGTTGATAAATTGTTCACATTTTAGGGAATAACATAATTTAATTAAATCACAGTAGAATACACTTAACACCTGTTAGATATAAGTTTTCATGGCAAATCCAATTTACAATAAATTCTGGCTAAATAGCTTTAATATTGTAAACCAAGAAGCAAATAGGCTTTCTCTTTTACCAAAGCAATTGCCTTAAGCTGATTTAATTAAAATCCCAAAGTATGGCAAAAATTCGATATAAATTCAAATTTCTCAATTCACACATACACACATAAATATATAAATATATAGATGTGGAAATTGCATGTGCCACAATTTCAAATGAGAGAATACAAAAGTCAATTTGCTGTAAGACGCCGAGCAGCACATTCAAAGACCACATAAACATAACCATGAGAGATATTTGGTATAATAACATACGTGACCATATTTACAAATTCCAAATCAAAATCTTGGTCATAGACAAAAGGGCGAACTGTGAAGTGCGCTTTTGGGTGGTGGAGACGATCCATTGTCTATCTGGCGTTTTGCTCTGCATGTGAAATGAATTTAATGCTCGACTCCGCTCGGGCCGACACAGAATGTGAAGTTTGCGCACTGGGAGATAAGTGTGTGTGGCATTCTGTAAAATTTGTTAACATGTCTGCATTATAATTTCGAGCTTATGACATTTAACGCTTCAAGCTGAATTACATTATAACATTGTCCAAATGTCAGATAATTTTCTGGGCATCAAATGCGGTCGAAAGATTTGCCTTTGTAATTGTTCTACACATGATAAATATTCAGTTAGCCATTATCAACAGTCAATCAACTGCACTTGCTTTGGCTTATAAATTCGGATATTGACCAATTTGCGCATGCGGCTAATATAATTAAAGTTGTTTTTGTGAAATATTGTCATTACTAATGAAATAGAATGCATTGTGTAGCTTACAACATAAATAAATAACCATAATACTAACTCAGCTTTATAGAAAAGTAATTACTAACATCAATTTTTACCTTTATATACAAATAATATATATCATGGTGTAGATTAAATTAATCTTATTCTTTTTATATTCTTATGTTGAAATTAGAGTAGGTTTTGGAAATCTTATATGAAAAATTTATGTATACCTTTGTATGTAGATTTTTTGAGTTCCAGTGCTGTGCAAAAAATAAAAAGTGAAATCGTTTTGCTAAATTATTGGATATTGTTATTTCTGTAACTTCTGGTAGTTCCGTGAATGTGGATGCGTTACAGAAATCTTTCGGATTGGAAATTATCAAGTTCTTAGCCTCAATGTTAATTGCAAGTTAGTAACGATTATCGATAAGACAACTATTTACTTTTCTCAATTTTTGATGATAGTTATGGAACGCAAAGAGTCTTTATTTTCCTAAGTCGAAATCTGTCGAAAACGTTTTAACTCTAACCCACTTTGATTGGAGCTTGCTGCAAGGCAAACACATACGTACAGTATGATTTGATTTGGCACCCAACAAGCGCTCCAGATATGTAATAACTGCAGTATGATAGTGTTATTCAATGTGGTTTCCCTACGTATAAATTAGTCATGTTTTTGCATACGCAATAGCACGTCTGACAGGCGGCACTGTGTTGCCTTTATATGGAAAAGGGGGCAACGCGACGTGTAATTAACAATAATGAAGTCGTTAAACCGCAATGCAATCAGCGATGCGCAAAACACAAATTTTACACACACACACACATAGGCGCAAGAGCAAGGGATGGACAGTCGAAAAGCCAAAATGCAAAACGAATACAAAAAGAGAGCATGACCAGGAGGATACGGCAAAAGGGGATAGTATGAGGCATTGTGGCCAGTATGGCGTTATAAAATATTTATGAACCATTTGCACGCATAATTAGACTGTCATTAAATTTTGAGATTCTCCGTGTGCTGTCATGAAACATATTTTCAATAATGAAATGTGAATACGCTTATAGCGCAATTAATAATATACTTTCATATACTTAACAGAAAGCACTCGTACTTTTAAAGGTAATTTTGCATGCAAACAGACGAAATTTAAAAGCTATTCAATTCGGTTTTTACCTCCTATTTTCACCAGGAGATTTGCATTTTTTGTGAAAGGAAAAATACATTTCATTGGAGATCTTTGATACATTTTCAAATATAAGATCTATATCTTAATATATTTATTAAGGTTTACAATGAACATAAACTTATTTATATTCATATTGTATTTGAACACATTATTCACATTATTAAAATCATAGAAGCTAACTCGTATATCCATTATGATTTGTACAGTATAATATTTATATGACCATAATTATAATTTCTTACAATAATTTGATTTATTAGTATAATATGTTCAAAACACATTTAATTTCAATTCTCATTTTATAATATTCTCATGTGATACACAGTTGAGCATTTTCTTTAACCTTTATGTATTTCTTTAAATATGCAAATTAATGGCTTAAGCATTTAAGATTCTTAACAAGCATATTGATTTAAATTTTATTGCTTCTTATTGAAGCTGTTTTTAATGTGAATATTTGTTCCTTTATATGTAATTACACACTCGTAGTGTATATCATACACGAAGGGTATGCTTGAAAGGTCCAGCAACGGACCAGCCACCATTTTTGCAAACGGGTGGCGTTCCAAGTTGGGTGTTAAAATGTCATGGCATGTCCTGACTCGGGTCGCTGCATTATACCTGACTCCTGAACGTATATATATGTGTGTGTGTGTGTGTGTTTATGTGTGTTTGTGTGTGCTTGTCTGTTTGTTTGTATCTCTGTGTGTGGGATCACAAAGTAATCAGCGGAAATGTCAATGAGCCACCACCATTTGCTGATGTGTCGGCGACTGAGGTTTACAATCGTGCAACAACAGCAACGTCAAGGTATACTTTTGCCCACTCTCCCACTAGTTATTGTTGTCGCCGTTGTAATTGTTGTTGTTTTCTGCATTGTAATTAAACATTTTTCGTTGCATATGCAGAAACGATTGGCAGCAGAACCAGTTTAATTGCATACAGTGTGTGTGGGTTTGTGTGTGATTGCGTTTGAGACTGGCATGCGTGTGTCGAGCGATGACAAATATTTTATGGCGCAGCATTGATAGGCGGTTAATATGAGTATCTGATGCATTGACAGCTCTGGAATGGGGCAGAAAATATAAGGCAACTGTGATTTAATTACGACCAGATCAACCTGCAACTGTATAAAATTCATACAGCATTTTTTCTTTTTATTAAATTGTTAACATAGCTGCTGGAAATAAAGGAGTAGTCAATGAATACTTCATTATATTCACACTTATCAAGCATATATATTTTTGTTAAGATGATACAACGTCCTCACCGGATTACTGTGTACATATTCATTTCAAAGCTATATATGAGTGTTCCTCAAACTTTGGACAGCTAATTATATTATAAATTCACTTTCTGGGTCAAAGCTGCATGCGAAAACATTTAGTTTTCGTGTGAATGTCTCTACTAGAAAATAAAAGCTTTAATAATAATGGTTAATAATGAGCGCAGTAGCTCAGTTAAAAAATGTATTTTAGACATATACAAAAATATTATTTCAGACAGGTGACTTGTTATTTCTTGTTAAATATTTAATTGTAATATTTTGTTACCTTACAGCTACACACAACAGCACAATGGCGTTTAGTGGACACTTGGATGCAGATGGTAACATTGTTTTCAGCAATGAGTCTTACGTTGGACGCACATGCATAAGCAGTCTAACAACGTCATCGGACCATTCGAAGGAATCGCATTATTCGGAGCAATCGGGCTCCGATTCGCTCGAGTTTCTTTCGGGTCAACGATGGGAGCCCCCCTCCAATCTGCAAGCTATTTCGAAATTGTTTTACAAGAACCAGGATGAGTCGCCAAACTCATCGTCATCGCCTTTATCATTGCCGACAGCAGGCGGCAACATTTATTCAAGCAATAATGGACGTACCAAATCGCTCTACAGCTTCAAGGAGATGTACGGCTCCCTCAAACGGACGGATACAGAAACTACCGTATTACCTTCGCTTGAGCTACGGTCAAGATGCAGCACTCTAGATTATATGCGTGATTTGAAAGGTTTAAAGCTGGATCGTGAGCCGCAGGTGGCCTACAATACCTGGTATGCTGCAAAGCAAAGGCAGCGCAAGCAACTACTGCAGAGCCAGAAGACTCTGTTCGAGAATGAGCAACAGAAGAAGGAGCAACGCAAGCTGCAATCCAAACTATGCTACGAGAAATGGTTGCGCGATAAATCGCGTCTGGCGTCAGAGCGGCGTCTAGAAAATCATATGCAACACGCGGCCCTAAAGGCAGCCACTTCTGTGGCAGGTGGAAGCCCGTCGAATAATAAGCCTGTGCGCAGTGTTACGCAGTCGGAGATTATACACGTAGTGCAGAGCTGGTGGATGAAGAAGCAACAGCAGCAGCAGCGACAGCGCGAAGAGAAACAATATCATCTGCTCAAGAAGAGGCGGGACGAGCAACTGCGCAAGCAGCTGGCCGAAAATGCATGGCAAAAGTGGATGAGCAATGTTTACGATAAGCCCAAGCCGGTGCCAATGAATCAGGGTATCGATTCATTGCGTGGTACCGTTTCCCAGATTTATATAAATCCCATGTCCTGGGAGCCGCTTGAAAACATTAAAAAGAGTGACTATGTCACAAGTTAGAGATGTTAGTGATTGTGATAATGGCACAGTTGTTGGCATTATAATAGTTGTCAGCAGCAGGAACAAACCATTACATTTAATTAAGTTCATCTTTGAATTTGAAGTGCTGCAGTCAATAAGATTATTTCTTAAGTAATGTAGTGATATATATGTAGATTAAGGGATCCACTTCAATAAATACTTAAGCTCAGATTCAGCATATTGTTCATATAACAACTCTAAATGTAAAGCAAAAATAAAAAATACACACTCCAAATTCGCTTTAAACTAAAAATCAATTTGTGAAGAGCCAATTTGTATGAAATTGTATTTCAAAATAAGAAATGCCATCCTCTTTGTAATTTCCATTTAGATTTCATTCTTAATTCGTAAACACAAAGAAACTGATGAGCCGATTATGTATGGAATGTAGCCGAAAGCTTCTTCTATTCTTTTATTTTGACAAGGATTTAGAGCTGTCTACGAGGTATCCAAAATTGGGTAATTCTCAGTTGCTTAACCTTCTAACCCTTCAACTTGTACCCAGACTCTCCTCACTTTGTAGTTGGAGACAGCATTTTGGTTTCGTGCTTATTTGTTGTTATCAGTGCCCCTGCAAACATTATCGTTCAACATTTCAAAAGTCAATTTAAGCAATTGCGTCAGCAGAGCTTAAGCAATTTCGTAAACCAATACGATAAGTGAATCTAGTGGCACTAGCAAGCTCCAGATTTGGATAGGGGAGGGGAGGGGAGGAGAAAATTGTGAAACTGTGACAGATGAAAATAAAACGCAATTTGCAATAACAAGCAAAACACAAATGCAAACAAAATACGATACCGAAGAGTGCACTTTACACTCAATAGGATTTCAATTGTTGTCCGTTTCAGTGTGTGTATCGAGTGTGATACACTATAAAAAAGTGGGGAGTGAGAAAGTAGCACGAACTGTCCATTTTCACTAGATTTTCGACACTGCTGCTTTGCCTGTAAAGTCACAAAATTATATTGTCAAAAATAAAGTAAAGCATGTTTTGAGGCGCAAACAAAATCAGTAAAGTGCGGCAGATATCCGAATGAAGACAGTAAGAGAGAAAAAGAAATAGGGAGATATAAATTCAGGCATATAGCCAGAGCTCTTTGCAAAGCAAAACCGAAATGCAAACAAAATAAGCCAAAGGCCTAAAGTTCATTTGCACAATTTCCAAGACCGCCCTAAGCCCCACACACCCCTCGATATACCTCTACCCCTCTGCTCAACCCGTACTGCACCATTCTATTCTCGACTGCACTGATCAAAGTCAAAGGCCGTGCCAAGCTTGGCAAACAAAAAGACCAAAAAGACGCTGCCGAATCCTTTTGATGAGGTCAACGCTAGTTTGGTTTCCAGCTACAAGCTCAACATACACACATCCACACACACACACACACACACACACACACACGCACACACACTCGCATGCGTTGGTCAAGCGGATGTTTACATTTGTGTGCGATAGAATGCTTTCCGTATACATATATGTGTGTTTGAGCATTGGCAGGATTAAATTTGGTAGGTATTGTAGCATGTTATTCGTCATCAATGTAGTTTGCTCTAACTAGTTTGTTTGACTGTTGTTATTGTTGCTTTTGTTATTTTGTGATGCAACTCTTGTTGCACCAAGAGTAGATCAGACCCAAGCAAGACGACGCAACCTTTCCGTGCACACAGCCAAGCTTAACTTGTGGAGTCGACTCGATATCATGTTGTTTGCATTGTTTACGCACTTTCGCTTTGACATTATGGTAGTATGCATTTCGGCTTGATGACCAAATGGACCATAGATGTTGGCGCGCTGAATGTCTGTGTGTGTGGCTAGAAACATGGCTTTGTGTACTTCCCAACTTGTGTACAGTGGCATGCTTCATTGGTCGGTCTATCTTGCTTCATGAGGCGAGAAGTAGCTTTAACGGTACTGAATCTCGTTTTGTGGAACAATGGTATTGGACTTTGAAAATGAAGGTTATATAATAGTTGTTGTTGTTTTTTTTCTTCAACTTCAAAGATAATCGTATTGCTGTTATTCTTAAACCCGTCTACCTTATGAACTTAATGCACTCGAAAGATTTACTGATTGAAAATAAATTGTTTACGAAGCTCTTTTTGGGTTTCATTTAGTGTAATGGACTACTCTTAATCTCAATCCGCCATGCGTGTGAACATTTTGCATAAGAAAAAAGCAACACGACCTCCTGCTATGAGGCATAACTAGGTCCAAAGATAAAACACATTTGGAAAAAAAGAAGAAAGATAAATCGCCCCGTCGCTTGTGGTAGAAACAATGAAAACACCCTGTCCACATAGTTGCGGCATGCTTGGCACATAAATAATGCATTGGCAGCCGTTAAGCAAAAGGAGAAAAATGAATCAGAAACCAACACGACAATTGAGCATAAGACAAAGCAACCTGCAACGCGGTCAGGTGAGCAGTCGAGAACAGACCTGGTTTTGTGCCCACACAATGGACCCAAATACATCACAGTGATGATGAGTGATCAATAACCATGGGAAATGGTAGAGAGTAAATAGGAGGGAAGCGAAGCCTGTGCTTTGTCGATGACAACAACTACAAATGGTAGATATGAATAGTGATGTATTGAACAATCGCAGAAGTGTTGCCGGGACAAAGTAAAATGAATTTGTCTGTTCAAAATAGTACTCAAAGTGTAATCAGATTGGCAAATTTAATAACAACAATCCCTATAAATCCATACTATATTAATTAGAGCAACTAATTACTCTCAAAAGAACGTTTTTTGCACGCACAGGGATTATTATAGATTTTTTATTATTATATTTAAATTTAACAAAAATATAAAACAGCTTCACTAGCATTCCATTAGTTTGTGGTATTTTGTGGTCAAGCAAAAGGTTTAATTTCAATTTTAATAAAAATATGTTAGCAAACTGAGTAACAGGCTACAATTTTCGTATCGGTAGATAAATTAAGTCCCTCTGTTTAGTAAAGCAAGAAAACAATGAAAGAACGAAAGTCATAATTTAAATAAGCATACTATTAAGTCTCATATATTTAATATGTATAGTTATTTTTGAGTAGCAATTGTGACGGTCTTAGACTTTACGTATGGAAATATTTGTACTAATTTCAGTATATGAACGAAGTTTCAGTGGAGCAGTTTATATATGTGTTTAGTGCAGCCCCTGCGGCAGTCAAGTTATAAAACATCTATGACTTACTTACAAGTCAGAGACGCGTGTTAATAACTTTTTAGCCATGGCATGCAAACTTCTGCTGGGATCGAGCTGGGTGGGAAGTTGGCAATGTGTGTTATTGTGTCCTTCATATTAATTCTTTGCTGCGTGCGGGACGCAGATTAAAGTGACAGACAGGCTACGCAAAAATAACAAAAGGTGGTTAAGTCCTTGTAAGTGTTTAAGTCGACAAGGCACAGCTACTACAGCAACTACAAGGACTGCGAAGCGTTTGCCAAAGCTGGCTAGGTTAAGGGGGACAGGAGCTCAACACATATAGTAGACGCTAGCTGCGTGCTTATAGCGCTGTGAAATGAACATTTTGCAGGTGATTTAACAGTTATTAGATTTCTCAAGCCTGCAAGTAGGCAAGAGCCAGCCAGCAAATGGCACAACTGGGAGTTGAAGCTTGCCTTTCGGTAATTGTAAAAAGTTTTTATTTGATCACATCATATTTGGATGCCCAGAAAGTATGCAAAATAAAATGTCAAAAGACATTTGCCAAGACAATGCAAGAAACAATGGACCGGCAAACTTTCATGCCAAACTTTCTAACTACAAGTATGCCTGATTAAATAAAGATTTTTCTCTGGCACAAAAGTTGGACAACGCAAAGCGCAATCCTTGCACAAGTAAATATGCAATAATCTTATCAAAAAGTGTTGACACAAATACGCAAAGGCGCAAAGCGCCTTAAACTATACGATGCATGCATTATATTGCATTTATTTACAAGGCAAAGCAAGAACAGAAGCATTCCGAAAACCAGTTAACACTTCAAAATAATACTTCGACTTAAATTACCTACAACTACCAATAAATGGATATTTTTCATGTACTTGTTGCATTTAAAAAATTGAGATTTTCGTGAACTGGTTGAAATAGCATCGAAATTTATTTACGGAATTCTAGCAATTGTTCCCTTTGAAAATGAACTTAGCTTTTGGCAAATTATACAAACTCAAACTTAATGCAATTACAGCTCAGTTATCCTCGACTCAAAGCCTCTGAGCGACAGAGAGAAAAATGTTGCCTACTTTCCTGCGAATAAATATGCATTTCGAATGGCAACTTGTCGGCTTTAAATAAATTTAGAGTGGAGTGGACACAAAATGATGGCATGGCCGGAGCAACTTTGCTACATTTCTAAATTAGCTTTATGAGTTTTGGGTACGACACCTGCTGGAATTCCCATGTGTGCGGTCAGCCAGGTGTCTAAGGCCCTGGCCTCGGCTCAACTTTTTTTGCATGAGAAATTATTATGCAAAATGATATTAAAACTTTTTGAGTGATGCTTTTGTTAAACTTTTCGTATGAGACGCATGTGGGCCAACACAAAAGAGGCGTAGGATGGTAAGTTTTGCCTATCAATAGCAACTGCAACAAAGGCCAATTTATAGTAAGTTTCCTGAGGCGCATAAATTACGCTTGGCCTCTAATTGGACCAGTGACTGCATAGAAATGACGACAACGGCTCTTCAAATCAAAATTCATGCCAAAAAGTAGGTCCTCGTAGAAAGGAATTGAGCGAGTCAGGCCAAACTCTAGGCTTGGTTGGGCGTAAAAGCGAAAGGCAACAAGGCGTAACATGCGATAAAATTGAGTTGAAAACGTGTTTCAAATCTGAAATTAACAAACTGAACAGTCAGGCAGTCAACCATTCAGTCAGTCGGCTATTCAGCCAGCTTGTCAATCGCCATGTCGCTGCTACCCCGGCCAATTGCGCCGCCTGCATGTAAATGACTTTTTAATAAGGCCCCCAGACTGGCTGAGCAAGGGCTCTGGCTATAATTCCAGATGCCCACCTCCTCCCGTCATCCAGCTGCTCTACTCGATTCGCTTCCCATGTGCGTCTGTTTCAAGTGTCATAGTTTGCCTGCCTAATTGCTGACATAATTTTACGCTTTAATAGTTTTTTCGTGTCCACGAACTGACCTGTCCCAGTAGATGGAACCAGTGGCGCTCCCATCTCTTTGAATACCTGCCATTGAGTTCATATGTAAATGAAGCTCTGATTAGCGCAAGTCATGAATTTCAATTTGTGTCTAATTAATTGTTGATTTAAATTCTTTTGCGTGCTGATGGAGCTTGTTCAACATGAAACTAAAACTGACAATCTACCTGCCCACGTTTTTTTTTTTCAACTCCATAATTGGCATTAGAATTGTGCGGGCGTGGATCGAATCGAGTTTCAACATTCGCGCTCACTTACAATTAACTACCGTTTGACTAACAGTACAAACGAAATTAGTGTATTTAAGTGTACTTGGTAATAGTCATTCTAATGTATTAGATATTTTATATATATTTCACAACAAAATTAACATAAGACAACAGTGTCTTTAATTTGTATAGTTATTTCTTTTGATTTGTAAAATGAATTATATTCTAATACCATTTTTTGATTATATTTTATAATATGTAATTTCAGAATTACTATTACTAATTTACTAGTTGTCAATTATATTCACCAGATTATATTTAATAAAATTTAATAAAAAAAAAGAAAACATATGTAAATATGTAAATATATGTGCATAAAAGGTGTAAATAAATTTAAAGCTGAAAGGGTATTCAAATATTCAAAAAAGTTTACAAGCTATTCGAAAGAATATCGAAATGAACAGCGATAATCTGTTTAAGAAATCGATGTACAAATATATCAAAGGTAAAACCCATAAATTCACCATAAAAAACTTTTTTTCCTAAATCTATGAATGGTGTTAATCTTAAAATATTACTTTAACTCCTGTTGTTGTAATCTTTTTTAAATCGTCAAACAATCCAAATGCAATCATATTAATTCAACGAAGTCCAATCGCTTCCAGCATGCCCTAGTTTGACTAACAGATTGTTCAGAGACCATATGCGACTGGCACTCAACAGCTCGTGAAACGTTACAAAATGTTGCACTAAGGCATTGAGCTCTCGCATTCCCAAACAATAATTTCGATTTGTATCAATGACATTCCATAATACGTCTAAAATCGACAGCGACCACCACTCCAACCCCCAGTCCGAACTTGCCCACTCGCTAATGGAATTTCATGTTGGAGTAGAGAAATTCGTGTGTTGTCGATAAAGACAAATCGTGTAACAGACGCCGCCGTGCGGCTCGCTTGTATATTATAAAAATAATGTTGGTTGCAATGCCAACGCGGTCTGGGTTTTTGTTTTTACCTGCTGCACCATTTTGAGGGCTAGGTGATGGTGGAGGGCAATCGACTAAAGTTTTTATGCCAGTACGGCTAAGTGGCACATTTTGGGCTTAGCTTTCAGACGGCGGCACTGAAAAGCCCGATCCTGTGGTTACTGCGGCGCGTCGGAAGACTGAACAGTGGGAGTTGGGCGAAGTTTATGCATGTCTACCAGTACTCACATCCCACGTCCATTCAGCCGCATTGTCGGGCAGTGCACTCGACTGTTGCCACTGTCAAATAACTGACATTACCTCGCCGAACGTCGCTCACGTTTCGTGACTTTGCACAATAAAAATTTCGATTAGAATGTAAAAGCGGCGGTCGCAAACTGCAACGGCAATCAAGTTCTCAGTCGGTGTGCCACAAATGCTACACAAAACGAATACACATACGTATAATAGCAAAATAAAATAGCTAAAGTGTACATTAATAGAAAATGAAATCAAAAATGTTAACTGCCATCGAGAGAAATTGTTGCGGAAAAAAAAAATGATTGCAGCTAATGCATCCATAGGCAAACATAATGATAGCCGCGTATCAAATGATTGGCCATAAGTCAGTTAGCTGGTTTTGCAAACCATTTATGCATTGCTTTATTGTTTGGTTATAAGTTGAAAAGAGTATTTAAAACAAATATTGTTGGATTTTAACTAATTTAATACACAACAGTAAAGCCAAAGCCATTTGCAAAAAAACAGAATAATTAAGGCTGAAAATACCAAGATTAAATCAGCCAGTGTGATTAAAAATAAATACAAACCAAAACTCATTTTTTAAATAATTGCATTGTGTCTGTTGTCAAAAGTATACACATTTTTTACAAGTTTGTTTCTCAATTTCATTCTGATTATTGTTGTGTACACATACACTTACATACAGTTTTATTTGCTTAACAATTTCTCTCCACATTTTCGAGTTACGCATTCCCCACTTTGAATCGAAAAAGGTAAGAATAGGCCAAGTTACAATGACAGCTACAAATATAAAATAAGTTTGACTTTTTGTAGATCTTACGAAATGGCATTTGTCGGTCGCATAAACATCCATGGAAATTATGTTGATTGTTCAGCGATAAGCAACGGTCGCTCCAAGCTGAAGCGGGAGACTCCAGTTCCGGTCCATGCTACGGATAAGAAAATCGAGATGGAAGACCGGCCCACAAACTACTCGCGGACTTACATCAAGTTGTATGACTCTGAGCAGCTACCCAGTCCGCCCACAGCTCGTTATGTGGACCACTCCGCATCGTCCTGCGACCTCAACTCGATGGCCGATACGGAGGAGTCCACACTGCGCTATAGCTCGCCTCGATCCTTCGAAACGGAAATGGCAACGCTGAGACCGTCTAGCTGCAGCAGCGACAACGGCTCCACGTCAGACGGTAGCCGAGATGCCGTTGTGCTCGTTGAAGTGGAGAGGCCACATCAACCGTTGCGACTTGAGCACTGTCGGATGGAGGCACCACGGCTGGAAAGAGGCTCCACTACCTCCATGTGCAGCTGGGAGGAAGAGGAGACTGTCTCCATGTACCCATCTATGGATGAGCAGACAGCCGAACTGGAGACTCAGAGCAGCTGCTATGTGCCTCAACTCGAGCTGGGCTCGGACACAGCCTCCCTGTACTATGACCAGCAAGTGCAATTGGATCAGTTAAAGGTGATGCGTCGCTCCAACGAGGCCTACAATAATTGGCTTTCGGCCAAGAAGCGGCAACACCAATACAAGCAGCAGGCAGAGCTCGAACAACGCCAGCTAAAACAACAAAAGGACGCACAGCGTCGACAACTTAATGAGCAGCGGGTGCAAGAGTGGTGTGAGCGAAAGGCACGTCAATCCACGAACACATTCCTGCGGAAAGCAAATACAGAGAAAACCCAGACCACCTGCCACCCCCAACCCTATCCGCATCCACAATTGGATGAGGTGGCGTTGAAGAGCCTGCAGTGCTGGGAGATGAAAAAAGCGCAACAGGCTGAGCAGCGATTCCAGATTCAGCAGCGTGAAGCACAGCGAAAGCAACAGCAGCAGCAGCAGCGCAAACAGCAGGCGACTCTGGCGTGGCAGCAATGGATGAAGGGCGTGGCACAACGCCCAAAACCAGTGCCACTTAATCAGGGCATGAAAACGCTGAGTGGCACTATCTCCGATATCTACATAAATCCAAATGAGTGGATACATATTGCGGATCAGACTAGGAACTAAATAAACAGTAAGCAACTTAACTTAACTACAAATGTGCTTTTAATTAAAAAAAAAATACTTAAATTGGTGCAATACTCCAAAAAAGAGGTATTAAATTAGTGATTTATTTTTATTTCTTAATTACCAGCTAATAGCGAATTTATTCTGTGTTTATTCTATAATATTCTTAATAAATATCTCAAATCTCATTTCCACCATAAAAAGATAAGAATCAATTGAAATCCTTCAAGAGTATTAGCAGAGAACTGTTTAAATATAAGCATACATTTATTAAATGGTTAATGTAAGTGGACTACTACTGTTTGGCTCATTAGCTCACTTCTGCATGAATCCTTGCTGGCAAAAGTAAAAACACACACGCTCAATCAACACACACATTAACGGTTCATATATGTACCTAACTCATGCGGATGTTGGGTGGGCGATTAAGGCCATAGTCTCACCCAGATTCTTGTGTAATCTTCATATTCCACACTAACACTTGCTATCAAAGCATTCGCAGACATTTGTGTGGTGTATCCTTTTCACAGGTTAACACGCCTGAATAAGATAATACCCTTCGAGGCGTTTGCATTGGTTGTGCGCTTGCCAGCCTTGACACTTTGATTCAGCTTTAGATTTCTCTCTTCAACAAGAAAACTTAACTTGATACAGTTGTAATAGCCGCAGATTAAATGTATCTAAAATAATTCAAATTTGGGTCAGAAACCATAAATTTATTTATTTGAATAGTTTCTCTCTTATCTGTAATTGAATTAAATCTCAATTATTGTATAAAGTTTGGTTAATTCGACTTAATATTATCATAAAGCATACAGACAAATTAATATTTTCTTAAGTTAGGTGATTCGGCCTGATTTAATATGAGTTTTTGTGTAGTTCTTGGCTGCTTCTGTACGAACCTGAACCCAGCTGAGCTGCTGAAACGCTGTGAAATTGTTCACCTGTCGACTCTTAAAAGAAACAAAAAATAAATGGGAATATGTAGCTCGTCGCAGGAGCACAGGAAATATATACAAAGTTATTTAATATGAAAATGGCGTGCAGCTGAAATTTTATTTGAGCTTCGGTTAGCATGGCTGGCAGTTGGCCTTAAGCGATTTATTTTTGGCTACATTTTTCGCCCGAAGAAACATGGAAATTAAATGTGATTTCAGAATGAAATTGACGGACGGTGCTCAAAAGAGAGAGTCATGTTTTTCTCTATGGTTTCTAAAAAAATACTGCTAAAAAGTTATTGTTTTCTAATATCATAAAACATGTACAGAATCCTTTAGCTGCTAGTTTAGCTTCATTATTCTTTTGAATTGCTTCTCATGATCGCATCGGAAGCTTCCAAAAATTCCTTAATTAAGCCTACAGTTTTGTATTTAAATTATTATTATTAAAACAGAAGCCAGCATCACTTTTATACAACCACAAGCAATTTAAAGTCTCTACGCTTTATTAAACTGCGGACATTCAGATTTTGTTGCTTGTGTTCTCGGCATTTTTTAATAATTTAATCCACTGCAATTGAGCTGCATGGCATGCTTGGGCCGATTTATTGAAAATAAAAACAATATACTCACAAACGCAAAATATACACGAAGCAGCCTAAGAGTTTGGAAAAATTTTTGCACAAACATTGATTGGCAAAAGCCGGATAGCTGAGCGACGACAGACGAATACAACCATATATATATATATACATATATATAAACATACAATAGCAATGATGATCCAGAGCTCAGCATTCATACACACACACACACACAGACTCAGTTATGTTTTATATTGCAAAGTCGAGATGAATAACCGACGCCCACTTTAAGTATGAGTTAAAAACTGAAAATTCATTGAAAACTGATAGCGTGTAAAAAATAAACGATATGCGCAATCTGAAAACAAAATATGAAGTGCCAATTGATTGAGCTGTGAGGTTTGAAGGGATGCGCTATACCGCAGATAAATCAATCACCTACACATCAAATACTACAGCGATTAGTTACTCAAAAACATAATATATCTAATAAAAAGCTTAGTTTATTTATAAATGTATCTTATCAATAGTTTTTCCTCGTTTTCAATTCATAAATTATGTTGCTGGAAATATGTTTTTCAAATATACTGAACATTTAAATATGGTCCACAATTTTTTTTTTTAATTTCCATAAACAGTAACTCATAATTGATTTATTAAACTAATAATAACTAAAATAATAGCTGTAGTTGAGTATCTTCCAATCTGATTGATAAATTGAATCCCCTTCTAATACAATATTACTTTAATTATCCCCTAATCAAACTGATGTTTTATATATTGTAGCTCATTTAAGATCACGTAAGCCTTTGCCTGAGTGAATCAAGTATTTTACACTCGTTTGCATGATAGCACTTATCAAACACATGGAATTTATTCAAATGCTTTAATAAAAAGTCAGTGGCGTGCCAATTTCTAGTGTCAATTAGCAGTGACACAAATGAAAACAAAAACCAATTCGATTTGTTAACATGCTGCAACATTTGAGCCGAGCATTAATTAAAATAAATTGGCAAAATATCGAATAGGCGAAACTGTAAGTACGCCAGACTCAAGTATTGTTGCGCTTCACAAGTCAAGAAGAAATGATTTGTGGACTAAATGAGAATTTCACGAATTATTTTAGTAAAGTGTCAATTACCAATTTCATTTGCAACTGACAATTCGACAAGATATCTTAACAAGTAATGAAAAATAGTTGGAAGGTTTAACATTGAAATTAACTCTAATTTGAGTTAATTGGTTATAAATATGACAGCAGTGAAATATTATCGTACAAATTACTCATATGGAATCAAAAACTATACTGAAATTTGAATATTGTCTGCAATTATGCAGCCCTCATAGATAAATAAGCGATGTAGCGCATATTTATACTCGTATCTTTATTCTAACCATGGACCGCAGTTATGTGGAAAATAATAATTTAATTAGCCCTACATACACACACAGACCCACACACAAAGAGAGGCTCTTATGTAGAAAGGCCAGGTTATGACACGGACAAATTTTATGCATATCAAAAATACTAATTATGGCAACATTTTGTTCATCTGCCTTTTATGGATCCGAACCATGCGCAATAATATATCTGGCCCAGTGTGTGTACGAATTTTGTGTGTGGTATATGTGTGTGTGTGTGTGTGCTGACATTTCAATGGTACTTGAGCATTAACGTTCAAAAGTCAATTAGTGGTTTTTATAAATGTGATTAAATTAAGTGACAATGTTGTTTACTGTTTTTACGGTTTCTGAAATTTGGCTCGTTTTAATTGTGACTACAATGTCCGAATTTTAGATAATTTAAATGGGACGCGATGGCTTTCCATATATTTATGGAAATTATGCAGAGGATACGTAGCCAAAGATTGGGGCAATAATGATATTATACGAAATGTTCACATACAAAATGAATTTAAGCTGATTTATTAAAACGTCTGAAAATTTAAGTACATTTTGCTTAATTACTTTTCAAGATTTTCTATTTTGTAGTTTGCCATTCAGTTTGTATTTGGTAACAAGTAATATTTTTTTAGCTTACAATTTGTGATGCATTTTCATAGGCAAGTATTTTTGTGTGGAGCCAGACAATGCAGCTTTTAAGCCTTTAAGCCAAAAAAAAAAACATTTTCCACTTGTCACACACACTCATACTGGGACACATATGCATAGATACAACCACGCACACACACAGAGCTGGGCCTTTCAACTCGTTTGTCTTACCAATTTTTTTTTTTGTTTAAATCAAAAAGCGACACAACGTCAAAACAATTTGTCGTCATTTAAAAGTCGACATTTAAATAAGAAAATGCAAATATGAAGGCTACCGAGCTGCCTGCTCGGTGTGGCAAGGCATAGACAGTAGCTGTGCAGCTGCCTAAATGTATGCAATAAAATTTTTTATGCGCGCGAAAGACGCCGCATACGTTTCATATGCATAAAATTAAGCCGGCTACGGGAACTGACTATGATACCGAGGAGGACAGCAGGGGGGGCAAAGTCGAGAACGAAGATGGGTAGATAGGTAGCTGGGCGTATGGGTATGGTCGAGCGTGGGGAGCGCAGCTGTAAATATAAAGTGTGAGGGCAGAGTGGCATATACACACACTTACCCCTCACACACTTACACTGACACACACAGTCAGGGAAAAACGTGTCTATTACAATTCAATTTGACAATAGGCGCACACAAAAGCCAAACCAACCAGCCGCACTGAGCTGGCAAGCACACACAAACACACACACACACAAAGACACTCATACACAATCACACACAAAACCGAGGCAAGCCCAAAAGTAGACTATACAAAACACAAATACGACAACAATTTGTTTTACCCTTACAGTGGCTACTGTAACTTAATGGTCTGATTGGAATCAATCAATTTTAACCATAAATAATCGTATAAATAATACTTATACAATAATATATTATCATATCTAAGACTGTATTGATTAAAATTAAAATTATATTGACTTTTTCAGTTGATTATTATTTTTGGTAAATATTTCTTGTAAATAAATAAGACATGAAAAAAAATAGGTCGAAATCAGAAATCAAGAAAGATTTCCATAAAATAATTGAACATCTTAAGAATATATTAATATAAATTTAAAACATTTTTATGGATTGATTTCACTTAACTGAACTGAAAATCATGTTTTAATGTTTAAACGTTTTTTTTTTTAAATTAAATTTGAATAAATCAAATAAAAACGAATACAAAATATAGTAATGTATGAAGAAAGCTAAAATTTACTTTTAACTTCTTAGGATATATTTTTCTTTGCTCTATGAGCATATTCATTCGTCGGTTTGCCAATTGTGCTATTAGAGACGCTTGTTTGTTTGTTTATTTGTATTTCGGCCATGTGTTTTTACTGCAACGGAAACGTCAAGAAAATTTTTTTCTCAACGTAGTTAGTTGATGGGAATAAAAAAATCTGAGCGACGCAGGTGGCGTCGGCCACAACAATGGCGACAACAGCTCCGGTTGAGAACG